TACCTCCAAACGGGACGACAGTCATCGATGTTGAGATGGCCTCCGTCGCTGACTCGCGAGGACGGGTGGCAAAAAGATGTTCGCAAGCGACCTACGACTGCTACAGGCTTCCTGCCTATGCCTGTAGAAGGGGACGTTGAGATATCATGCTGAAGTTTTCTGGAGATTATCTGGTTTTATTTTTTGGAAACAGTCCACATGGAAAGACGATGCAGCCAAACTAAAGATACGCTCACTGGTAGAAGTGTGAGGATGGGTATTGCCCATTGAAGTAGATTGTTTCATTGATTGTTTCTTTCTGACGTCCCTGTTGAAGAAGCAGAGAAATAGAAAAAAAAAGAGAGGGAAAATGTCAAATATACTCGGTATACAACAAAGAAATCCTTTTATGTTTATTGCTGTTCTTCTTAATCAAGTTGACAGACAAGACCTTCAACAAATTGAAAATGTTTTACAAAAAATTGTGTATAAAAATGTTGCTACTTGTGTAGATTCTGAATAATAATGACTTTCTTTTATTTCCAATTATACCAAGGATGGCAGAAGAACCAGCAGAAAGTGAAAGACTTGAAGAAATATAGGCAATGTATGTGATATGTTTGGTTAACGCTATCAGTTCTTATTTATGTGAAAATGGGTTTGCAAATAAACAACATGCAATATTTTTTTGTCAAATTTTAAATTTACATAAGGAAAAAATTTTGCTATTCTTTTTCTGTTTTTTTTTAATATTCAATGCATCATGATTGTCAAATTGTAGAACAACATAAATCTTGAATTGAAATTGATTTAAACTAATGGTTTAAAGTAGGATTTTGTAACAGAACATTAATTTGTATCTGAAAAAAGTTTGCTATAGACTGAACAAATATCAAATGATCATTTCAGAAATACATTGCGCTTCTTGTGCTGCGTCTTTACTAACATTTAACATAGTTGTTCTTTTGAGCTAGTTCTGATTGGTCAGGTTTTATTGTCTGTTTGTTGCTTTTGTTCTATGGATGGTTCAGTGGTTTCTATGTATTCAGGATATGGTGTTTGTTATTCAAAGGGATCTTTTAATGTTATTCTGAAATGATATACATTTGATATTTGGTTGTTATTGAGATCGAAAAAAAAAAACAATATTAGAGCATTAAGCTTTTAATTTTGTTTATAATTTTCAAAATGAAGTTGCAAAACATTTTATATCAAAATCTAGTTGTATTTGACACATTATGATGCATCGTAATCGAAAAAGAAGGAAAAAAACAAACGCACTCTGAATATTACATTAAATTTAAGCCTTCTAAGTAAAAGTTAATTCTGTACGGTATATTAAATTGAATTTAAACACAAGTTGAAAAAATCCAAAAAGTATATATTTACATCGGCTTTTTATTTGGTTCTGAAAAGCCAAAATGGCCACGAAGGAAGAAGACCTGCAGTAAAAATAATATTTAATAAGTTTACATAAGTCTTATGTGAATTATCTGGGTACTTCACATATTTTCTATTGCTTCAACGGAATAGATCTAAAATTTCCAATACTTTCAGTCATCTGAAACTATCATCTTCCAGTAATCTTTATAATTCACACATGAGTTATCTCAAACCTTGGGTTAAATTTCAACTTTTACCTTCAATACTAGGCTGCCATCTATATTTTCTCCATACATTAGATGGAACATTTATTCAGGTATTATTTTGAAATTAAACTTGTGTATGATTCTCATTGTGAATAGTTCCTTAAACCATTTAACATTGTGAATGTTGAAAATGTTACATAACCATTCTTAAAAAATCCCCCAGGTTTAAAATTCAAAACTTGAAGAAATATAGATTGTTCCTTCGAATCAAATCTGAGATGACATTTCTCCACTTTAAACAGTTATTTTTTTTATTTTAAAAGTGAGGCTTGAAATTTAAAGTTTCACTTTGTTTTCAATATTTTCTGCAATTGCCAAGTTAAAGGTTTAAATTTGATGCATAAATTTTCATACTGGAAATCTATTTTGTTATTTGTTTAAAATTTTTTAGGCAATGTCACTAATCCTCTTTTGTCATATTTGAAATTGATTATTTTTAAGGAAATTCATGTTTAATGTTAAACCTGTTTGATGTTTTTTAAAATTATTTTTACTATAGAAGTTGTAATAGATTCTACTCTTAAATTAACTACAAATCCAAAGTTTAAAGTAAACTTATTTCTTTTTTTCTTTTTATTGGGGGAGGGGGATTGTAGGGTTATACTAAAAACTAGTTCACAGGAGGTAAGTCATCAAAACAAGGAATTATTTGAATCTGGAATAATTTTGAAAATTGATAAGAAATGTATGATGAAAACTAACCTAAATAAATAGGTTAGCCATGCGTGTATGGTAAATTTTACTTTCACTGATATTTCAGTATGAACTAACTAACCCCCCTTAGCCTTGCATGCATGGCTAACCCGCCTAAATTGTGATAGTTTTCATCATACTTTTCTTATCAATTTTCCAGAATTCAAAATTATTCCAGATTCAAATAATTCCTTGTTTCAAGGTTTCAATTTTATTCCGTGTGTTTATTTTCACATTATATTTTGCTGTAATATATGAAGTTCAAAACCACTTTAGATATTTCCATTCTCATTGGTACCAACTTGCATGATTTAGGCGTGCATTACAAAATGTTAACCGCTTGTCCCAATTGCACTATCTTGATCATAACAATAGCCCTGAAACATAATTTTGTAAGATCTACATGAAAATGTTGATTTCAGATTTTGAATAATTTGCAAGGGAGATAATCATGATCAGAGATAATAAGTCAATCAAACCAGTTTTCCTAGATACTTGATTTCATATTTCGTAATTTTGACAAATTCTGCATACAAAAAACAAATCAAAAAGGCAAATTTTATTTTGTTTCATAGTTTCATCTATATCCACAAAATATGTAAAACTAAGTACACTTAAAAAAAAGTGAATCCACAGTATTGTTTTTGCTATCAAACTTTATTTTAAATCTGGAAAATTTTATACATTTTTAAAGAAATAATTTTTATTCCCCTGCTGTAGCGGAAGGGGGCATATATGTTTACCCTTGTACATCCGTTTGTACGTCCCAATTTGGTTTCAGTTCTCCAACTTTAGTTTGCCTCATCCAAATGTTATGAAACTTATACACAATGCTTATTACCACAAAAAACAGATCAAGTTTGATTTCAGTTGGCATCACTTTTACAGTTCTTCAGTTATGTCCCTTTATAAAGTTGTATGCAAGTGGGGGCATCATCTTTGTCCCATGGACACATTCTCCATTTATTTGTTTATTTTTTGAAGTAACTTAGACTGCTGTTAATCACTATGTGGTAAGGGAGATAACTTGCTCATCATGCAAATAAGTGAACCACAACAATCAGGAAATGTGTTTAATTACCATAGGAACCATTTTAAGTTTGTTGAATTTTAGAATAAGAAATTTGTTAGTTTTGAATACATTTTGTACTTTGATCTTTTAAAGAAAGCATATTATTCTCAGAGCATAAATAATTCCTCCTTGGAATCCAAACCAATTTGTCTTTTTAATATTATTGCAAACTATTTTGTAATGTGGATTTTTGATATGACTCTAATTTCAATTTTATTGACACTTTATCTCTATATTTGTAGAAGACACAATTTATTCATGGCTATACCATGAGTATGCAGCACAAAATTATATCTAAGTGCAGTATTTATCAATCAATGTTAGTACTACTGAAAGGCAGAGGTATTGTATTTAACTAGGCTTCAAAATTTAAGAAATGGTTGATGATTTATTTTGAACAATTTAATTTTGCTGTGCATTTTTTTTGTCTAGTCTTGAAAATTAAAGATACATTTAGAAAGAGACGGTCAACAAAATTAATGATTTTTAATTTTTAATTTCATACCATCACCGACATGTTACTGACTAAATGTATCATACAAAAGCCTATCACTACAGGTACTGTGTTTCAGTTGTGATGGATGTGGAGTCCTAACAGGCTGAAATTAAGGGCAAGGGGAGGTAATACCCTTATTTAACTCCTTTTACTGGAAGTTCCTTCAGTGTAGGCAATAACGATGTTTATTGATTATGTCTATCATATGTGTATAAGTATTTATATATCAGATGTCTGCTAACTAGTCTATTGCTATATTATATAGAGATAAAAATCACTGTAAGCAGACATAGATAATAGTATTAAAGGGTGGAAGAAATTGTGGGTTACAACCAACTTTTCGGAAATTTTCAAAATATTTTATATGTTTTAACGCACATCTGGTACTTAATAATTGCTATAATAATCCAGTAAATCATCTTTATCGGAAAAAAGAAATTATTGTAAGAAAAGAAATAAACATTTTTGTGACTAACTACTATATTATTAGATATTGTGATTGAAGCAGACATTTCAGTTATTCAAATGGACAGTGGATTTTGATATCATAAAAACCAATGTTGAAAAACACTTAAAAGCAGTAAGGAATCAATAGCAGCTCCAAGGAAGAGATGGTTAAATAGATCTTCAAACCAAGTCGGAGATTTTACCATAACGAAATCAGGCAAGTTTATGTAAGCCCTACAATTTTTTTTAGATTCTATACAAATGAACATGTACATTCAAGTACAGTCTAGACAACAAACAATATGATTATTTTTATCTTTCTCGTTCATAACATCAATATCCAGTTCATTTACCATTTTCATATATTTTATAATAAGTTAAAGAGGTATATGAAAACAATTATAATATCAAATTATCTTTAAGGGGAGACAAGTACAACAAACATACAAACAATGTTTCATTCAATGGGAGATTACTCAGATAATTTTTGTGCAGTTGGAAATAAAATCAAACCTTTTCCCAGCTCTTAAATTCCTACACAGACAGGACTGATGCTATATTATTGGGTACTAAGAAACAGAAAAACTTTTATAAAGTTTAAGGATGATAGTTTAGTTAAATTGGAAAAATATATATGTGTTAAATTTTAATTCCTTTTAGGTTATTTCTGGGACATGTTTCATGGTATTGGGAGTAAGGCTTGGTGGCTTACTACAGCTAAGATATAAGTAGGTTTATAATTCCTTTTTTTGAAAAAAATGATATGTTCATTATACTATAAAAAATAAAATATAGGGAAAATAATGTGACCTGAGGATTGAAAAAATATGTAATCAGGTTACAATAAACCTTTATAAATAAATATAAGGAGATGTGGTATGATTGCCAATGAGACAGCTATCCATCCAAGTTTAAATGAAGTGGATGTAGCAAATTCTAGGCAACCAAATGGCTTCAACAATGAGAAAAACCCATACTGTATAGTCTGCTGTAAAAGGCCAGACATGAAAAAATGTGAAACAATTCAATAGAGAAAACTAATTGCCTAATTTATAACAACAATTTACTATAAACAAATATGACAGAAATAACAAATACTGCCCGTCAATAATTTTAAATTAGAATAACTCAAATAACACATAGCTGTGATGTAGATAATGCAGATTGTCACTACTTAAAAAAAAACATGGTCATCTTTGGCTTTTCATTGGTTGACAATGTTATATTCTGACAGCTATAATGTCAAATAGCTGTGAAAATATAACAGATCAATTGCAGCACCGATAGATTTCTTTAACAAGTATGTGTTATTAATATACTGTTTTGTTAAAGAAATCTATCGTGCTTGGATTGGTCTGTAAAAGGAACATTTCAAATAAGTGTATTTTTTTTATTATTTGTTTTTAGGCTGATGTAATGACAATGATTTCATGGTGTTGGGAGTAAGAATTGGACATCTGATACTTCTACATATAATATGTTGGTAGGTATACAAACATTTTTTAATCTTAAAGTGTTTGATGTCGCTTTAATAGTGGTTCAGGTATCAGAAAAGATTGAATGACATGGAGATATTCAGCTCCAGAGGAAATAGGGTACATAATTGTCCAAAATGGTAAAAATACTGCCAAGCTTAGAAAGAGAAATTGTTTTTGACGTTTTTTCTATTTGTCAAGTTTTAAACTGAATACCATCTGGATTTTGTGAGTAATAGTGAACCACAAATTTAAATGCAACGAAGTACCAATTTTCTATCAATCAACTTTCAATCAAATATCCACAGAAATCCATTTTCTCCTCAATCCCCGTTAAATTTAATGAATCCACAGAAATCTGATTTTTTCTCTCAATCCCCATGAAAATCAAATTGAATCCACAGTAGATTATTTGGAAGAGTTTAAATAACTGATTCAACTTTGTATTACAGGTTAGCATCACAGCTTGTCCTTAGGGGTACTGGCTGGGGTAGCAATTGGATATGCTTCGAGGTGAGACTATATTTATTTGCCACACACAAATTTAATTAATTGATGTAATCCTATGGACAGTTTAAATTTCTATAAATCTTTATTGTTTGCAATTATATTTCATCTTTATATTTTCTACTGTAACCTTAATAGATGTAAATCAGATGTTTTTATAGTTCAGAAGGTTTATAGTCCTTTTTAACTACTTTCTCTTATTCAATCTTTAAACTTTTACCTAATGACCATGTACTGAATCATAAAGAGAACCATTGTTTTTATGACAATAAAGAATTGTGTTTACTTGAAAAGGGGAGATACCCTCACATTCATTTACAATGAAATGGCAAGTGCTGTCACAAAGATAAGATGTCTTTATTATATTAAACTTTGCTTCTTGTTCAGTTTTCTATTTCTTTCGATACAAATTTCCAAAGAATTAATTTTTTCAGTCAATATATGGAGAAAACAAAGTAAATGTCATAAAACTTGAACCAAACAAGGATAGTTTATCAAAATAGCCTGTATAATTTTATCATGTATGTAAATATGCAAATTTTCAGTTTAAAAGCTTCTGCACTTGTCTGACACTCAATGAATGATTAATGCGATATCGGTAATAGTGATTTTAACACCTTGAAAATCAAAATTGGTATATTAAGATGGCTTTCCATTTTATAACAAATTTAGCTGCACGATTTCTATTGCAATATTTTTTGGTAAATCAATAAATTTGAATAGAAGAAAACAAGTATTTTTTGCATAAAACAATATCTGTCTATTTAAAAAAAAAATTGCCACTCTTAAACATTCCATAATTCATATATTTTAACATTACTTAATTACTATGAATTGTCAACAAATGAAATATTATTTTATTTCTTTTACAGGTGTATTCCTGCTGCTGCCTTGTGTGGTCAATCCTGTGGACAATAATCATGCCAACCACATATATATTGTGTTTTTGTTTAATAAAATTCTTAAATAATAATTCTCAAAGCCAAATGATTAATTTTTTAATGCTATTATTTTTTTCCAATTGCTGTAAATTCACAATTTTTTTTTTAATGCTGTTATTTATTTTCCAAGAACTGAAATTCACAGATTTTTTATTCCTTTTTTTACTGAAAATTGCTACACCAGGATAGATTTCGCAAAAACAAAATTATATTTAAAATTTTGATAGCTGCATTATTTATTTGCAACATGTCCTTAAATGACAATAATTAATTTAACCTTTTTGTCCAATGTTTAACAATCCCAAGCAATGAATGCTTGCAATTTTTTTTTTTTGAATTTACAGTATAAATATGTTTTCATTATATATATATTCATGATAGTATTGTACATTGTATTTTGCTTTATAATAAACAAAAAAAAAAAATTGTATAAAAATTGTTAGTGTACTGGTATACAAAGCATCCATTAGACTTTCATCAGTTTACAAACGTCATTAAAGTTTTGCATGTTGGCACAATGGAACATGGTGTGTCCGTTGAAGGTGACGGCGTTTGATATGGGTAGGCTTTAGTTTAAAATAAAATGTTCCACAGGGCGCAGCTTGATATGACCTGAACAGTTGGAGCAAGTATGGACACAGCATTTAAGTTTGATACAGCTCTGAATTAGGATTATGATTAAATATTTGACACAGCATAGGTTTCTGACACACAATGAATGTGATCTAAGAACTTAAAAATTTGAAATTGGACATTTACTTATTATGGTCCAATATTCAAAATCTAAATGCATGGTTTAGAGTCGGCATATCAAAGAACCGAAAGAATTCAATTTTTGTTGACCCCTTGGACCTCAGTGTGAACCAATTTGATAGCGGTCCCAAAATCTAAATACATGGTTAGATTCAGCATATCAGAGAACTGCACATATTCAATTTTTGATGAAATCGAACAAAGTTTAATTTTGGACCCTTTGGACCTTAATGTAGATGAAATTGAAAACGGTAGCAATAATTCAAAATCTAAATACAGGGTTAGATTCAGCATATTAAAGACCGCAAGAATTCAAGACTTTGAATTAAACCCAAGAAATACTGTAAATTCAGAAATTATTGCGTGCATTTATTATTGCGAGTTTTTTAAAATGGACAAAATTGTGATATTAATTATTGCGGTTTCAGGAAAATCTGCATACATATCTTTGTATCAGATATAAGAATGTGAGTTCTTATTATTTCAATCCTCAATCAGTTGCATTATTCGCATTAATAAAAACTTCGCAATTATTTCTGAATTGACAGTAAGCAATGTATACAAAGTATTAGAAAAGTATTGTTTTTGGCCCCTTATTCATAAACAGTCAATCCCCAAAATCAATCCAAACTTTTCTGTTTTGGTATGGAACCTTGTGGTACAAATTCATAGAGATCCATAGACTTATACTCAAGTTATTGTCTGGAAACAAGAGAATCCTTGTTTTTTTTGCCCCTTTTTGTACCTTTAAATTCCTTAACAGTTTGGGCCATTACCCTCAAAATCAATCCCAACCTTCCTTTTGAGATATAGAACTTTGTGGTACAATTTCATAGAGATCCATTCACTTATACTCAAGTTGTTATCTAGAACCCAGATGTCTGTGGATGACAACACAGACATTGCCATACCATTATACAGCAATTTTTTTCTAAGAATACAATACTGAATAATTGGCAAAAAAAAACACTTTCAAGTAAGAAATCCTGTTTCAGGCATCTGTATTGAGTAACTTCTATAGTGTCCTATTGTGTAAGTACCAACCTTTGAAGAGTTCTATATTTTGAACAATTATTTTTCAGTCAAAAGTCTAATGTGGCCTACTCTTCACCTTCCTCAAATTTCATTTAAATCTCGCTTTGACTTTATATGCTGTGCTGGATGTATAGATACACATCCACATCCGATCAGGAGGGAAACGTTAAATCCAATGCCTCATCCAGGCGATTGCCACACACACTGCACGTTAAAGAATCCTTGCAATATCTGCTTAAGATGTCTGTAATTATTGGTGGCCTGTTGAAAGGCAAAATTTCTGCCCTATCTCACACATCCTCTTTCAAAAGAGGCAGTTTATTGTCTCGCCTTGCTGAAGTCAAAAAGCGAGACATAGGTATGCTGTTTCCGGCGTCAGCGGCATCACATTGTATTAGTTTGTGATTAGGTCTAGTTCATGGTGAACCACTAGTGGTAGGTCAATGATATTTGGTATGCAGTTGTATTAGCATTGGCACATCCCATTACCATGGAGAATATTTGGCCCCGCCTCCTCAGTCAAGGTCTATTGACTTTGAAACTTTGCTTAGTTTACATGTATTAGTTTGTGATTAGGTCAGTTTATGGGGAACCACTAGTGGTAGGTCAATGATATTTGGTATGCAGTTGTATTAGCATTGGCACATCTCATTACCATGGAAATTATTTGGCCCCGCCCTCTCAGTCAAGGTCCATTGACTTTGAAACTTTGCTTAGTTTACATGTATTAGTTTGTGATTAGGTCAGTTTTTGGGGAACCACTAGTGGTAGGTCAATGTGCAGTTGTATAAGCATTGGCATATCTCATTTCCATGGAGATTATTTGGCCCCGCCCCCTCATTCATGGTCTATTGACTTTGAAACATTTGCTTAGTTTTCATGTATTAGTTTGTGATTAGGTCATTTTAAGGGGAACTGTTGGTGGTAGGTCAATGATAATTGGTATGCAGTTGTATAAGCATTAGCACATCTCATTTCCATGGAGAATATTTGGTCCTTACCCCTCAGTCATGGTTTATTGACTTTGAAACTTTTGCTTAGTTTACATATATTAGTTTGTGATTAGGTCAGTTTAAGATGAACCACTAATGTTGTCAATGATATTCAGTACGCAAATGTATTGGCATTTGCAAGTTTCATTTCCATGGAGATTATATAACCCCACCCCCTAATTATGGTTCATTGAATTTGAAACTTTTACATAGTTTACAAGTTACTGTTTGTGTTTAGGTTTGTTTAAAGGGAACAACTTATGAAAAGTCCATGGTATTTGGTATGTCAGGCATTTCCTTTTGTAGAAAATGGTGCGTTAAACCTGGTTTCATTTTTAACTAAGAAATACCTACTAAAAATGATATATCTAGGGTACATAGACATGTTTTGACTGAAAAAAAACAAGGAGTGCCACGCTGAAATGTCTTGCCTGCTTTACTGACCATTGATTTTATGTTAATAGTCCTGAATATAAAGCTTTATTACAAGTATCACATAAACTTAACATGATCCAAGAAAATGAGGTCAAGGTCAGAATAACCAAACCTGAAATACATGTACATCTTACAATCATTCTGTACACCAAATATAGTTGACCTATTGCTTATAGTTTCTAAGAATCAAATTTAACCAGGAAAACTTAATATTGACCAATGAATAGATATAACTTGCCCGTAGCAGGAGATTCCAAGCTGAGGTCGGAATTCCGAGCTATGACCTCGGAGTTCCGAGCTACATAATTCGGAGAATTGTACTTAGTTTTTTTTTAGCTTGGAAAAAGTTCGGAAATTTGTACTTTGTCAATTTTTGGCTCGGAAAAAGCTCGGAGCTTTTGACTTTGCCATTTTTATATGTCGGAGATTGTTCGGAATTTTGGACTTTGTTGTTTTTATAGGTCGGAGATTGTTCGGAATTTTGGACTTTGTTGTTTTTATAGGTCGGAGATTATTCGGAATTTTGGACTTTGTTGTTTTTATAGGTCGGAGATCTTAGAGATTATTCGGAGTTTTTGACTTAGTCATTTTTATAGGTTGGAGATTGTTCGGAGTTTGGGACTTTGTCATTTTTTGTAGGTCGGAGATGATCTGGAGCTTTGGACTTTGTCATATTTGTAGGTCGGAGATGGTTTGGAGGTTTGGACTTTGTCATTTTTGTAGGTCGGAGATGGTTTGGAGGTTTGGACTTTGTCATTTTTGTAGGTCAGAGATGGTTTTAAGGTTTGGATTTCTTGATAAAATTTTAAAAGTCATACATCCCATGAAAAGATTTTTTTTCATGATTAGATGTGTGTAACGTATTGTCCTCCTGGTATTTCTTGCGATTTTTCAATAAACATTAAACATAAAACATTTCAATGAAAAAAATTTAATAATTTCATATTAAATCATTCAGTTTATACAATTACCATGTTGATTGAAACCTTTCAACACACAAATTAATTCATATATACAATATAGATGTACCATAATCTTTATACTTTTGCCAATTACCTCTTCTCCACAACATACATTCAGTCAAATACACACACAAACACACACAATCACACAGCTTTCCATAAAAATTGCATGTAAATAGTTTTTTCTCTTTCTAAGCCAGTATCTTAACTACAATATATATAAACACTTTATAATATATTTTAACTATATAACTCTTTAAATAAATTTGCATTGAGGTGGTTATTCACAAATTCAGATTTTGAATTTTTGCCTATGTTAGAAATCATTATCAATTGAAAAATCCTTTTAACAAAAATTTATAATCATTAACCAATTAAAGAACATGTTCAAGTTCAACTAAATATAAAAATATTCCAACTGGGCAGTTAAAAGGCCAATATTAAATGGATCAATAATAATAAAAAAAAAATCACAATGGCTGACCATTTTCAACAGTGTTTGGATCAAATGTAATATATAGTGTTTTTTTTTTTCCAAAATGTAAAACATGTTAAAATGTTAGTATCTTATAACAGTTTCCTTAAAATTAAATTAATAGATCTTAGTGACAGGTTAGATTAAAATAAAAGACAATTGTTAAATCAACATCAGCATTTAACATGTTTAAATAGCAGAGAATTTTCAAATTATAAATATATATGAAACTAAAAGACAGCCATTAAAAAAAAGGAAGAAGCAATTTGGATATCTGACTCGTCATTTTTTTATAATCTTGATAATACATGTACATGCACATTGCAAAAAATGCTTTAATACACATCTATTATTCAATCTTTTGTGACCACATGATGAAATCACAATATTTTTTTTTAAATGGCAAGTCTAATAAAAATAATTATTTATTATAACAGAATGCTTGGTACATTTGACAGGTTTTTTTAATAAGAGAACTAATTACATTGTGCAAAATACAGAATACCCTTTTCTAGCTTTGATCATATTAAATTTATATTTTGTAATAAGCAAATTTTTAAACTTTTCTTGTCAAAGTATGAAAATGACTATTCTAATAATTATCCAATGAGGAAAATTTAATTGAAAAAATAGCTTGTTTATAGTATTTTATATATCTGGTACATGTATTTTAGCTTTAGAAGAGAAGAAACAGCTAGAAGACAGTCTTAAAGGTGACCAGTTCAATCAGCTTGTCAAGAAGTATGTCAAAAAAGATAAAGAGAAAAGAACAGAAAAGATCCCTGACAAGGTTTTTATCTTTAATATTGCATGGAAAGTCAAGTGTCAAGTTTAATTTTTTCAGGGTTCACTTTAAATATAATCATTTACATCCGTTACAATATTAAGCACTAAAATAAACATCATATGCAAATAAAATTATTAATATACAGCTCTCACAAGCTTTCATGACCAACAGAATTATAAACAAAAGGTACAAATATTTAAAAGAAATTTTTTGGGGATTATTGACCATTCGATTTTCTAATCTCAAAATAAAAAAAAATGCATTCTATATAAGTAAATGAGACATAGATATAAGAAGATGTGGTATGAGTGCCATTGAGACAACTCTCCATCCAAATCACAATTTTTAAAAGTACCCAATAATAGGATAAAGCATGGTCTACAACTAGGAGCCTTGGCTAACACCGAATAGCAAGCTATAAAGGACCACCAAAAATGACTAGTGTTAAACCAACGGTCTAATCTAAATATAGAAATGAGAAACGCTTATGAACCACATCAAAAAACTACTGAACATCAGATTCCTGACATAGGACAGGTGCAAACAAATGCAGCAAAAAGTTATTATCATATAAAACATTATTTTTTGTATCTTTTTTAGACATCTTCCAAAACTTCTGTAGTTGAGAAACCTGCAGTTCCTGCAAAAAAGCGCAAGACACAACAAGAAAAATCAGCACCAAAACCAGTACAGGTATGTGTTTTTTCGTATGTATGTTGAATCAACAGAATATTTTTTTCCTTATGGTATGATTATTTTTGTTGTAAACAACACAAGTAACAAACTTACCCAAGTAATTGGGTGTTAAGACATATGTGAAAGTTTCATTAATTTATCTTCTTTTTAGTCCCCTACCGACGAAGTCGAAGGGGACTTTAGGTTTGCACTCTGTCAGTCCGGCAAATCAGTTTTCCAGACTTTTTTTCTTCATGCTTGAAGATATTGATTTAATATTTGGTGTAATGTTTTATTATGACAAGTTACAGGTCAAGTTCGATTTTCACGATTTAAGATTTTCTCCTTGTTCAGTTAAAGCCCTTTCCCTAGAAATACTTATTAATTACTAGATTTCTGTTCAAAGGGAAATAAATAGATTTGTAAAAGACACTGTATTAAGATAAATGACATGTTGGATTTTTTTCCTTTTCTTTAGTAAATTGTTTGAAGAATTTCGTGGTAGGTTTAATTTGCTCCATTACAATGAATTTTTAACCAGTAGGGGACTATGTATTGCCATGCAATACTCACAGAATGCTTGTTTTTTTCTATTCTGGCACTATTTTGATGCTAGAATTGCATAATTGATTATAGTCTTTTTAAAAATAAGAAAATGTGCCATGAATGCCAATGCTCTATCCAAGACACAATATGAATAAGAAGATGTGGTATGAGTGCCAATGAGACAACTATTCATCCAAGAAACAATGTGTATTATGTTATCAAAGTAAGAATTATAGCTTTCAATGCAGCCTTTAATCCAGAGCCTTCGCTCACACCAAACCTCAAGCTAGAAAGGACCAAAAGAGACAATTCAAACAAGAAAACACACTGTCTTATGTACAACAAAAAGATAAACAAAAAACACCATTGACCTATATCTTAAATTTTCAGAAAAACCTTGAGACAGTTGCCAGAGAACTTGAAGTAACAGAGCTTCACCAGCAGCTTGAGGAAAACAGGTAAGTACATTATTTGTAGATATGTCCAACCCACAACAGTAGGACATAAATTGATTTCTTGTATGTATGGGTAACTCCACACTGACATAAATCAACTGAATTTTATTTGAATAAATAAAAAAAAATTAAAAGGAAGACATTAATTACTGTATGGTTACACTTAAGGATCTTTACTGAAAATAACTGCATGCTTAAAACAAAAACAGTATGCATCATCTCAACTATAAAACCATAAAGACATTGTCAGATCTTTGATATCATTGAATGTCAATGAAAATCAATAAATTGATTTTAATATATATATATATATATATATATATATATACATATGTAACATAACACATCTATAAAAGTTTTTATCTATTTAAATAATATTTTATTTTAGATCCAAATCAGCAAAAAATGCTGTTGCTCTATGTTTTTGTCCCAACATAACAATTTTAAAATTTTGTAGGTACTTACCAATCAGCCAAGTTGTAAGAGAGTCGATGGATATTTTGGTATCGGATTGTAGGCCTGGAACACCGGAGCGTGACGTTTGTATTGACTGTACAGTTCTACAGGAGCAGGTACAGTCCAACACCAACCAGATATGTGGTCTACAAAACCAGCTTCAGTCCTTTAATAGCAAGCTCCTTTCAACAAAGAGCCAACTGCAGTCTTCACAAAACCTCAACCAGAGCTTACAACATCAACTTAGTAATCTCCAATATTATGTGCAGATAATGTGGAGTAAGAATCAGGTTAGTTTTATTATGTATCTTTATACCAATAATTCTTTTCCTCAGATTTATACTTATAGAAATAAAAAGTTCCTCCATAGTACCCATCTTGGTGAAAATAACATTATTAGAATATTTGACAAATGATTTCATGTTAAAAAAAAAGACCAAATATTTGTAAAAAAAATTAGTGTGTCTAATAGGAACATAAATATTCAATTATGTATTTTCAAAGCTAAAGCTTGAAAATGTGTCATAAAAAGCATTGCAGCAACTTTATAGAGATATCAAAATGTACCAGGCTTATAATTTTTGTGCATGTCAGACACATGTTTTGTCTATACAAGACTCACTAATGACTCTCAAATCAAATTAATTGAAAAATATACTACAAGTCATTTAATTGATCAAGTCAAATTTTAGGTTGAATATCTAAATATGGATGATAAAAGCTATTTCAGGATCACTGTATACATGTTAAATAATTGAATATCATTATTTTATTATTTTTTTTAGTTAGATGTGCCAGAGTTGTACAGATTATTAAAATAATTATTTATTTTAGTTAGATGTGCCAGAGTTGTAAAGATTATTGAAATAAGCAAGTTGCAAGTATTATGGTTATGAATTGTATTTTATATTTTTCTTTTATATTTCAGGGTTGGCATAATTCCTCATGCAATGAGCCTGGTACTAGCAATAGAGGTGACAGTAGCTATCAACAAAATAGTAACAACAACCAACAGATATCAACAACTCAGTCATCAACTACTCAGTCATCAACTACTCAGTCATCAACTACTCAGTCATCAACTACTCGGTTATCATCAACTCAGTCAACTGACCATCAATTATCTTCAATCTCAAACCAGCAGACATCTTCAAACAGTATTGCATTGGCCACATCGCATGATGAAACTCTTGACATCAGTATTCCAGATGATACAACACCTATAGAATCTGCCAATTCATCATTTATTCAGGTATCATATCAATTACAATTTTTGAAAACCTTGAAAAAATTTGTCTATCTTTTAAATGTTAAAATTTTCTTATAAATCAAGAATAATTATAATGGAAACTGGTAAAAATTATTAATGAAAATGATCATTTCTTTTTTAATACAACATTATTTACACTGAAATAATTAAGTGCAAATGCTATATATAAAAAGGAGGATTTGGTATGTTTGCCAAAAGAGACTATCCAAGAGACCAAATGCCACAGAAATTAACAACTATAGGTCACCGTACAGCCCTAAATAATGAGCAAAGTCCATATCTTTTTGTCAGCTATCATGGCTATAAAAGGCTCTAAAATGCTTGGAATAAGAAGGCTGCTGGTATCACTTGTGATGCTTATTTTTAGCAACAACAAAAGAAACAACAGTACTAATTTGAAAGAAACATACTTTTGAACTCCTTGAATTGAAAATGCAATCTTTCTGATTTTTTAACAGTTTATTTTAATTTATAGGATACAGCAGCCTCTTCCACAGTTGCCTTTTACAACAACTACACACAGGTATTATATTTTTTATGCCCCACCTAGGGACATCATGTTTTTGGGTCTGTGAGTCTGTTTGTTCGTCTGTCTGTCCCGCTTCAGGTTGAAGTTTTTAATGAAGTTGAAGTTCAATAAACTTGAAACATAGTACACATGTTCCTTATGATATGATCTTTCTAATTTTAATGCCAAATTAGAGTTTTAAACCCAATTGCATGGTTCACTGAATATAGAAATGATAGTGCAGGTGGGGCATCTGTGTACTATGGACACATTCTTGTTTATAAAGATATTGGTAGAAATCAATGCGACAGCAACCAAACTTAACATTAAATAAGAAAAGAGATATGTTAATGTATCCATAAAAAATAGTCCACATGAAAATATTGCTTGTGTCTGATTTAATAGCATATATTAATACTAATGAAACTATACATTTGAAACAAAATGCATTTTGATATATTTAGTAATAGTTTCTCATTGTATTATACTTTAAGTAAGTCATTTTCAAAAAAGCATTTATATATAAATCAATGTTATGTCGTTGATAGTTATATCTCATTAGTTAAATTATGATTTAACATGATTATGTATTAATAAGCTTATGACTACAATATTTTTTTTTAACTTCAGGAAATCTTAGAAGCCAAGGTTTCGAAATTAAAAAACTATAGTAAATGTGCAAAGGTATTACTGAGGCTGCTATACAGTGACCAGGAGCGCCAGGGGAGAAGTATATCTGGTGTTGCTGCTAATTCTAAGTATGAGGCCAAACCAGCCCTACAACACCCTAACCGAATTCAGGTTATTTATGGTATGATTGAAGTTTTTATCAACAAGAATTTATTTATATAAAATTATTACTGCTGTGAAGTCTTTAAACAAAGTAACTAAAATCTATGTGCTACACATTAAAACTGCTTTCTACAGCTATACTGTATTGTGTTCTGATGTTTTTTGTACAAACTTTAAAAATACACAAAAGGACCTTGAACTTATTCAACTTTCTGGCCTCTTCACAGATAATGCATTATCCTGTGAAAAATTCTGCAGTGTTATATAACAATTTAAAACCAATTGACAAGGGAGACATGATAAATAATTCTCATCCTAGTACATTGTACAAGACAGAATAAAAGGCAATATGCAATATTTCTGATATTTGCAGTATGATTAGCTATGCAGATTTTTTCTTGAAATGAATTCATAAATTGCTTTTTATATGGTTACAACATCTTATAAACTTGATTTATATTGATTTTTAATTTTTTCAGATATCATATTCAAGAAGTGGCCCAATGTGTCCAAAAAGGATATCAACGGCAAGCTAGCCGAATGCCTAAAACCAAGTGCCAGCATTGCCAAGTAATCCAGTTTGGAAGGAAAAAAATGATTTTGTTTCCATGGTTGATGATCAAACTGTCTTTTTCAAATAGTGCGATTGATGATTAAACTGTCTTTTTCAAATAGTGCATTACTTTGTAGACATATATATATATTTATTCATAGTACTTGACATGTATAAGTCATTTTCAAATGTATGTTAAAATAGAGCTTCCCTTTTAGTAATTTCTTATGTGACAATTGCTTGTATTTATTTTTCTTGTATGTGATATTGTTATCAGATGTTGAAGTTTAATAAATTTTATTTTTCATAGAATTGTTTCTCAATAATATTGAATTATGGGATAGATATATTTTATTTCATATTGATATCTTCAAAAATCATGACAGAACGAACAAACTAATTATCAATTATTCCGAAAAATTGTCAAATAATTTGGATTGGTTCAGAAATTCTCTACAATGTTGGAAAAGTTTTTCCGAATGATTTGGAGAATATTTCCGAATGATTTGGAAAATATATCTGAATGATTCGGAGAAATTTTACGAATGATTTGGAGGAATTTTTCTAATGATTAGGAGAAATTTTCCGAATGATTAGGAGAAATTTTCCGAATGATTCGGAGAAATTTTCCGAATGATTTGGAGAAATTTTCCGAATGATTCGGAGAAATTTTCCGAATGTTTCGGGGAAGTTTTTCCAAATGCTTCAGCAAATTTTCCGAATGATTTGGAGAATATTTCCGAATGATTTGGAGAATATTTCCGAATGATTTGGAGAATATTTCCGAATGATTTGGAGAATACTTCCGAATGTTTCAGTGGATTTCCAAACTAATAATAATTTTCCGACCTTACTTCGGAGTATTTGGACAACTCCAACAGATTTTCCGAGGTCAATTCGGAGTATTTGGACAACTCCGACCTATTTTCTGAGGTCAGTTCGGAGTTTTCTCACAACTCCGAATTATTCTACGAATATAATGCGGAATTTTAAATAAATCTCTGAATAAAAGTTTGGAATTCCGAATAAATGCGGAGAACAGCTTGGAAATTTTTTAAAAAACTTCTTGTTTCGCATGAAAATATTTTTTCGTAGCTCGGAAAAGTCCTAATACTCCGAACTTATATTTCCGAACTAACATTCGGAATTTCCTGCTAGAGGAGAAGATGTGGTATGAGTGCCAATGAGACAACTCTCCATCCAAGTCGCATTTATAAAAGTAAACCATTATAGGTCAAAGGACGGTCTTCAACATAGAGCCTTGGCTCACAACGAACAGCCAGCTATAAAGGGCCCCAAAAATTACTAGTGTAAAACCATTCAAACAGGAACCATGAATATGAGGTCAAGGTCCAATGATACCTGTCAGACAGACATATACACATCATACCATACACCAAATATAGTTGACCTATTGCTTATAGTTTAAGAAAAACAGACCAAAAGTGAAACCACAAAAACCTTACACTGAACAAATGAACCGTGAAAATGAGGACAAGGTCAAATAAAACCTGCCAGATTGACATGTACATCGTAAAATATTACCATACACCAAATATAGTTGACTATTACATATAGTATTAGAAAAAAAAACCAAAACACAATAAGATGCTCCGCTGGGGCGCAGCTTGATACGACCGCAGAGGTCAACCCTGAACAGTTGGGGCAAGTATGGACACAACATTCAAGCTTGATACAGCACTGAATTTGGATTGTATTTAAATATTTGACACAGCATAGGTTTCTGACACATAATGAATGTGGTCTAAGAACTTAAAATTTTTTAATTTACCTATTCAAACCATATCATTATTATTTTCTTTTATATATAAATCAGAAATAACCAATTTAAAATGGAAAATTTTAAAGAAAAAAAGAAAAAAAAATCCCCCCCCCCCCAATTTTTTGAACCCCCTTATGATTCATCACGCCAAAACTCAATCCAAGCCTTCCCTTTGTGGTATGGTACCTTGCAGTACAATTTCAGAGAGATCCATACACTTGAACACAAGTTATTGTCTGGAAACTAGAAAAATGCTTGGTTTTTGGCCCCCAAATTCCTAAATGTTTAGGGCAATTACCCCCAAACTCAAACCCAGCTTTCCCTTTGTGATATGGAACCTTGTAGTACAATTTCATAAAGATCCATACACTTACACACAAGTTATTGTCATGAAACTAGAAAAATGCTTGTTTTTTTGCCCCTTTATGGCCCCTTATTCCTAAAATTTTGAGGGAATTACCCCCAAAATCAATCTCAGCCTTCCCTTTGTGGTATGGTACCTTGCAGTACAATTTCAGAGAGATCCATACACTTGAACACAAGTTATTGTCTGGAAACTAGAAAAGTGCTTATTTTTTGCCCCTTTTTGGCCCCTTATTCCTAAACGTTTTGGCAATTACCCCCAAACTCAATTCCAGCTTTCCCTTTGTGATATGGAACCTTGTAGTACAATTTCATAAAGATCCATACACTTACACACAAGTTATTGTCATGAAACTAGAAAAATGCTTGTTTTTTGCCCCTTTTTGGCCCCTAATTCCTAAAATTGGGAGGCAATCACCCCAAAAATCAATCCCAGCATTCCCTTTGTGATATGGAACCTTGTGGTACAATGTCAGAGAGATCCATACACTTACACACAAGTTATTGTCATGAAACTAGAAAAATGCTTGTTTTTTGCCTCTTTTTGGCCCCTAATTCCTAAAATTTGGAGGCAATAACCCCCAAAATCAATCCCCGCATTCCCTTTCTGACATGGAACCTTGTGGTACAATGTCAGAGAGATCCATACACTAACACACAAGTTATGTCTTGAAGTTACAAAAATGCTTATTTTTGGCCCCTAATTCCTTAACTGTTGGTACCATAACCCCCAAAATCAATCCCCACCTTCTTTTTGTGGTATTGAACCTTATGGTAAAATTTCAAAGAGATCCATTCACTTAAACTAAAGTTAGAGTGCGAAAACCAATGTGTCTACGTCGGACGACGACGCCATCATCATACCAATATACGACCGCAAAATTTTTTGCGGTCGTATAAAAACTTAACTTTAACCACTGAACCATGAAAATGAGGTCAAGGTCAGATGACACCTGCCAGCAGTTGGACATGTACACCTTACAATCATTACATACACCAAATATAGTAGACCTATTGCTTATAGTATCTGATACTTGGACTTGACCACGAAAATTTAACCTTGTTCACTGATCCATGAAATGAGGTCGAGGTCAGATGAAAACTGTCTGACAGGCATGAGGACCTTGCAAGGTACACACATACTAAATATAGTTATCTTATTACTCATAAGAGAGGAATTAACAGTACAAAAATCTTAACTTTTTTTCAAGTAGTCATTGAACATTAAAATGAGGTCAAGGACAATGGACATATGACAGACGGAAACTTCATAACATAAGGCATCTATATACAAAGTATGAAGCATCCAGTTCTTCCTCATTCTAAAATATAAAGCTTTTAAGTAGTTAACACTGCCACTACCGGATCACTATCCATATGTTGAGCTTTCTATTACAGATAGAAGTTGCAGGCTCCTTTTCATTCAACTAAAAGTAAATTATCAATGGCAATAACTTTTAAAAATAGTGTCAGTGCATCTGTTTAAATAGGGGGAAAATAAACATGGGCAATAGCGAAATGAATATTAGTTTACTACTATAACATAGAGGGTGGATTAGGGGGCTGCCTTCATAAATCATCTGAGAACGATTAAAAAAATTATAAAATGTGTCAAATATCTATGATAAAAGTAAAAGAAATGCAAATTTAAAGTCACCTAAAGGAATTTGGAAATTGAGTCAAACAAATATTTAATAGGATTTGAATTTGTTTGTTACAGTTACATTTTTTGTATCCAAACACATACTAAATTGATAATAAGTTTTAAAAGTATCAACAAAATCAATAATGGCAAAATGAAATATCATAATGATCATATTTATAAATTTTTGAGAGTCAAAGATTTATAGAAATGTTTTTAGTCAAAAAGGAACAATAAAGTAGGTATTGAGTAAAGGGTTGAATAGAAATAAGAACATGTGGTATGAGTGCCAATGAGACAACTCTCCATCAAAGTCACAATGTGTAAAAAGTAAACAATTATAGAAGCATTTATTTTATACCTCAGAGTAAATTGTGAACCTAATAGAACGCATAGCAACGTGTAATTACATTGAAACTATGGATTCATATGTACAACTATATCACTGGATGTACCTGTAGAATAAATATACTGTCCGTGGTAGTATATATAGCCAGGCCATGCTTTCAATGGGGATGACAAGGCTTTTTAGCTTGACATATATATTTATTGTTGACTTCATAATCACCATGAAAAATGCCATAAGTGAGTGTTTACTGTGAATGACATATGGTCAAAGTAAAGTGCAGAACTTTCTTTTTTCAGGGGGGAGCGGGGGGATGTTGAAAATTTACACCGAGATCAAATGTCCATGGGATTCAAAATACCATATATGACAAATATTTTATCATGACATCACTAATTGACAATTTTGTTCAAGTAAATGATGCTGGAATTGTAGACCAATGGTTTTTGTGTAATATAATAACTTATTTATACTGGACCCTTATCTGGACATACTTAAAAGTCTGAACTAGTAATCGGCCAGTCTGTTATAGTCTTAACCCATTCTCAACCTGTACTCAACCAGTTTTAAATATCAGAACCATACTTGACCAAATGTTGACCTGTATTCAACCAGTTTTACATTTAAATTTTGTCAATCTTGATTTTGTATAGTCTGTTATAAATAATTAAATTATCTGAAATTTTAAAATTTGAATTTAAAAAAAGACCCCATTGTAAATCAATCGCAATGCCATTTTTAACCAATGGCTAATACTTAACCAACCAAAAAGTACTGGCTAATTTTATCCAGCGGATAGCACGTTTTATCCACTGGATAATTTTTCAGCAATAGAAATAATCCATTGGTTTAAAGTTAACCAGTGGATAAGCAGTTCAACCACTGGTTAACACTATCCAAAGTTTTGAGCAACCCAATCAAATTGTTAGATTGACTTATTATAAACAGCACATCATTTAAACTCTCCATTCGTTCATAAGTTTGTTCCATGTTAAATTCGATTTCACAATTGGACAATGTATTGAACTTGTGTTAAAGAGGTACTAAAACGCTAAAATCATGTTTGTCTTATTCTAAAGTTCGTATTTAACGTTTAAGAATGCAAAAAACCCGATAAAATTCCGTTTTGTAATTATCGAGATATTTGCAAATTACTGTCAGTTTGTCATTTGAACACCTGAACGATTTAGTAAAACACGCCACTACAACTCACTACTTATATCCAACGGAAGTGACGCATAGTGGGTCATATACATTAGAGACAGATTGTAAACAGGTCAGTTCGCAAAGTGAAAGTACTATCGTAAAGGTGACATTGCATTTAGAATATTTATTGACGTTTATTAATTTGTTATATTCCCATAATTAACCATGGGAAATATTTTTTACCATACAAGGGATTAAACCAAAGACTTGCAGCTGTTATAATTATATGACTCTAACATCACTGGATAGCACTGTGAGGTACTGGTATAGAAATGAAGACAAAGAAATGCTATTATCTTTCATTTATTATGTTGTCAAATGGAGAAAAAAAATCAAATTTGATCATTAACAATAAAACACACTTTTTAATACTTCAGTTACACTATTATAATCATTATTTAATAAAAAAAAAAACAACATAGGCTACACTTAAATATATTTATTTCCTTAATATTTTTAAGGAGGTAGACAAAAAGCAAAAAGAGATGTTCATTAGTAAATCGAAAGTTTTTCCAGGAAGAAAAAGAAAGGTAGCATGCTCTTGAAAATACTTGAAACTTTGTAATTCAGCAGTAGAAAATCAAAAACTTGCTTTATTCATTGAAACAAGTCTTTTGTAAAAGTTTTCCTTCTTCAATTGTAAGAAAATTATACAGAGGATTCATTAACCCAAAACAAAATTCAACAACTGAAACCAAATAGTAACTAAAGATAAAGTATTTGTGGCCTATATCTAAAATAGCAACAATTATCTGACTGTACAATTGTCATTTCAAAATGAAAAAAAAATATCTGATTAGCTTAGTGTAGTAATATATGTGATGACAATCAATTATACTGCTTCATAATTCTTGGCCTTTTCAGATAATAAGTGAAACTTAACAAGCTGTGGAAAGTAATTTTTAAACTGTTTTATATGAGAACAAAATGAAGGTAGTTGCATCAGACAACAGGTTCTGATTAAGAACTTAAGATATTCAAAAGAGATTAAAATTTTATCAATATTTGACAAAAGGAAAAGGTCAAATGTGTTTGCTACAACCTAAGGGATGGAATTCAAGGTAATTCAAGAGTACAGTAGGTACCTCTGTTATCATGCTAGTTTTTGAAGTTTCAAGCTAGGACTTTAGTTGTGTTTTTAGTTTCAAGCTAAGACTTTCATTTTTGTTTTTAGTTTCAAGCTAAGACTTTCATTTTTGTTTTTAGAGTTTCAAGCTAGGACTTTAGTTTTGTTTTTAGTTTTAAGCAAAAACTTGAGTTTTTTGTTTTTAGAGTTTCAATCTAGGACTTAATTTTTGTTTTTACAGTTTCAAGCTAAGACTTTTGTTTTTAGAGTTTGAAGCTAGTACTTCAGTTTTGTTTTTAGAGATTCAATCTAAGACTTTAGTTCTGTTTAAGAGCTTCAAGTGAAGACTTTTTAAAAAAAAATGTGAAATCAGTATAAAAGTAGTTAAAAAGCTGCAGTTTGGTAGCATTAATTAAGTTACTGAAATATTGAAAAAATAGAAGCTAGATTTTAATAAGTTGATCAAGATTATATTTCAATGGTTGTGGCTATTTTGAGCATTACAATTTTCTGACTTTCAATCGGAAACACATGTCTCCTAAATTACGCAGACAAGTAATACCATCATCTGTGTAATAGGAACTCAAATGTTAGTAGAAATCACTTTAGAGATGACGTAGGAAACAGGCTTAAATATATTAATTAGATAAACAAGGTAATCAGTGTCAAAAAATCTAAAATGATGAGTGGTTGAAAAACTTGATCATAATATTTTAGGCAGAAGCTACAGTTATCTGCAGTTATCTGCAGCCAAGATAGATTTATCAGAGCCTCCCTCATTAGGGGGGCACCAAAAGGCAGCCTACTTCCATATCTTTTTAAGTGATATTTGAGGAATAACAAATTTGCCTTCATCTCACACATTTTATAATAGACAGTTTTGTTGCAAGGACATTGAAGATAATGCAAATTCAGTCTATGTACATCTAGTATTTACAGTATGATACTGATTGACTTCTGGTTACTGTTACACAATGTTTGCTGTAAAAAATTTAAATGGAATATTACAAAGTTTCATAATTTCTGAATTCTTATTACAGTCTTAGCTTGAAAATTTATGTATATAAACACAGATCTTGTACCCATTTCAATTCCCTTGAAGAAAAATTTCTATTAACTAGCCAGGACAGGACTGCATTTGGTCTTTTTTTTTCTTTTTTTTTATAAAAAAGAGGTTCTATTAGTGTATTGGTAATTTAAATTCTTTTAGCTGTAAAAATGCCATGAGGTTACGGTTCACATATAAACCCTAGAAGCACTTAGGACTCTCATATAATTTCAAAAATGATGCTTGGATAAGGGGAAAAAAAGGTACAGTTAAAACTTTAAATTTAATTCTAAATCTTTTACATGATAATTTATAGATGCCAATGAATTCAATCATTCATACACATCAATTTCATTAAAATTAAGACAAAGCTATGGTAGCTTTCCAATGTACATTAAATTATAAAGGTATTTATACAGACTATCACATACATAGCTTTTTTTTTGTCAAAACACACATACATACACATTGTCTAATGAAAGACTAAATCGATAATAGAAAAAATAAAAAAAGAAGTAAAAATGTTGACCAGAATTTCATCACAATGATTGTTCTTACAATGCTCCTTTTAAAGTTTGCTTAAGAAAAAAACTTCAAAATAAAGAGGGGTGGGGAATTATGATATTCATGTCATCTAAAAATTGTAGTTGTACATTTTTCCCATCACATTAAGAGGGTTTTTTTCATAGGGGATAATCATCTGATCCTGTCACCCCAAAAAAATAAATGAAAATTAAATGTCTGATCAAATTTAAAAATCTCAATAACATTAATATTCAATCATATTTTTAATTAAATTGAAATAAGTATTATGTTTTCAAAAAATTTGCCAGATCCCTGTCCTTGGTCTAAATTAATGGTCATCCTTAAAACTATTGAATTTCATATTCAGAAGTCATGCATCAGTATTCCAAATATAATATTTACAATATCAAACTATTTTTTTCCATTAAAAACACATTTATAAACATCAATCATAAGATTTCAAGCTTCATAAGTATAAATATCACTTTCTTTGTAATATGAAAAAATTGTAAAAGTAAACATTTTGAAAATATAATTTTAAATAAATAATAAACATATTTATAAATATAACCATACACAGGCAAAAACTAAAACTTCTTAAGTTAATTATCATTGTATAATGATTATCTGAAGGATCACAAAATTAAACAGCACTTTGTAATAAATTGGAGATGCCAAAATGTGAGCTTACTATAAATCGATTTTATTGCACATGACGACACTTTCAAAAATATCAAATCAGCAATTCCAGTTTAACTAGCTATAGGTTAAATCTATGAATGTGTCCAAATAATTGAAAGAAAACTACCAATTTTGATTTTTTTTTTTCATTGTCTCCTATGTAACAACTTAAAAAAAACGTTGAAAAACAATAATTCTATTCAAAACAAAACACTTAAGCAAAATGTACTTTCACTTCAAACGGATAGAATTCCAAATCAGATACAGACTGGCGGAATAGCTGGGTATGTTGCCATGAACTATCTCCCTTCCCTTCACTCAGATCTGCTGTGATTGTCATACCATCTTCTCCTTCAAGGTCATGTACTGTCTGAAATTCATTACTTCCTGAAAAGAAATATTTAGCCTCGTTAAAATAGACCAATCATACAAAATTCAAATGGAAAACTAATTCAGTTAAAATGCTTTAAGTTTAAGATCAATGCAAGATCATGACTGATTCATTTATTAAAACATACATAGCATCCAGGGAAATCAATAACAATCTCAAGTTTATGAAGACATAATAAAATGCTTCGATGAGCGCAGCCTGATACGACCGCAGAGGTCGAACCCTGAACAGTTGGGGCAAATTTGGACACAATATTCAAGCTTAATACTGTATGAATTTGGATTGTGATCAAATTTTTTACATAATTTAGGTTTCTGACACAAAATAAATGTGGTCAAAGATCTTATAAATCTATTGCGCAATACTGTGCAATTGAAGATTTCTTCTTGAAACTTTTCAAAAATTCGAAATTTTAAAAATTTTGAAAAAAAAATATGAATCACTTTAAAAAAATTAAAACTCAATCCCAGCCTTCCCTTTGTTATATGGAACCTTGTGGTACAATTTCAGAGAGATCCATACACTTACACACAAGTTATTGTCTGGAAACTAGAAAAATGCTTGTTTTTGGCCCCTTTTTGGCCCTTAATTCCTAAACTGTTGGCCCCCATAACCCCAAAAATGAATCCCAACCTTCTACTTGTGGTATTAAACATTGTGGTACAATTTCAGAGCAATCGAAATACTTATACACAAGTTATTATGCTGAAACTAGAAAAATGCTTGTTTTGGGCCCCTAATTCCTAAACAGTAGGGACCATCATCCCCAAAATCAATCTCAACCTTCCTTTTGTGGTATTGAACCTTCTTAAAAATTTCATAGAGATCCATTCACTTAAACTAAAGTTATTGTTCGGAAACCAATGTGTCTTCGGACAACGACGCAGACATCATACCATTATACGATCCCAAAAAATGTTTTGCGGTCGTATAAAAAAGCAATTTCTTACTTTATAGGGGTACATACAGTAAATAAATATACGTAATCAAAGACCGCCCATTTGGGGGAGAGCTTTGTGGATAACACTGAAGTCCTGTGCTCTTCTGATTGGTAGATAATGTTCATAATAAATATTTTTTGATAGATGGATCAAAACTAAGGTTGAAAAAAATATAAAAATAAAAAAATGAATGGTGAATGCACTTAACTTTTTTACTACAGGGTTGAAAAGTAATAGGGGTCAATATAGGAATTTAGTGCAAATCTACAGTATTTGTAAACAAGGCCATGTTCATTGCCCAAAAATGTCGCATTGCAAAAGATGGGACTACATTTGTATTTTAATGAATGATATATATGAAAGCTTCTGATTTCTAAAGGTAAACCTGGCAGGTATAAATTTAATTCAAGACATAGGTTTGCATTAAAGCCAATGGGAGATTTTTGACTGAATTTACCCCTATAAGAAATTAGAATAATAATATATTCTTTTCGTTCAACAAGGTTAATCAAGCCACTTTAAGACTTTTTAATTTTTTGTAACAAATATTTTGATTTGTTGGGATGGACATAAATGTTCATGTAAACCGGGGTACCCTTTGTAATGTTTCAAGGTTTGGGACATTTGGGGATATCATGTGCATACATGTATGTATGCAACTGCTCATTGGTAAAATTTTGTATACATGTACATACATTGTACAATACATTAATTTTTACATTTATTATTTTCAAACTGATATTTCAGACACATCAAGTCAACAAGATAAAATCCTCCTACGGTTAAAGGGTTAATCATCAACCAAACAATTCTATCATTCTTATTTTTACATCTTTCCCATACACAAAATGATTCAAAATCAAGGTCATGTTTTATCTTTACTGAATACATATCTTAAATTTATGTGACATAAAATCGATCAAATTCTATAAAGACTGTTTGTTAACTTTAAATTATTATATAGTTATAAACTGTCACAGATTTCTTTTGATGTGGAAAATAATTCAAACAATAGCGATAAATTATACTTAAGAAGTAAAAATATACATGGTTTAACTGCAAGTAAATTTTATAGGTACTTGTATTACACAGTAAAATGCAGTTTTACCTTTTAACATTGCACATTTTGAATCACTACATAGCCGCCAAGAGATCACACCATTTTCATACACTGCACTACTAATTCTTACTTCTAGTTTGCTAATCTTTAGACCTGTAAAATAACTGTATCTTTAAAATGAATCCATTCCATCATTCTCTAAAGGGTTTTAAATGTTCTAAATTAAATATTCCTTTTATATTTGGATCCTCAAGCATATACAAATATTATAATAGCTGTATTAAATAAGTAATAGCAATTTACTGGTACATACACATTGAAAGTCCCTTTCTTTTCATACATAATCAAAGCTGTCAAAAAAACATGCTCAATATAAAATTTTAACAAAAATATTTAAATACTGTACAGCTGAAGTTTTATCATCTTTAATCTTGAAATGACTAGATTTCTGCTATAAATCTAGATTTTATTTCCCATTTTCTGTTTAAAAAAAAATATCATAGAAAAGTATGATTTGACATTGTCATCAAATTGAACATACATGTAAGTACTATTTTACATTTGGCAAATCCGCAATCTATACCTTTGAAATCAAATTTCCATGTCAATGATGACCTTGGTGACCCTTCCTTTCTTGCAAGGTAGACCATCTTCCAATCTTGTTCCTCCTTTCTAAACATTTCCTCACATTTAAACAGACATGAAGAAAAGCCTACAACTTTATCTGCATCCAAATCACTCATTCGTACATATTCATCTTTTGCACAACTATATCTTATATGGAATGTTTTGGATTTTTTCTCGTCTTCCGTCATATTGAACACATATTCAGGTTTGGATTCAGCAGAAGTTGTACCTACTTCACCTCTGGCTTGTCGCCATGCCAATGATCCAGTTGTCCTTCCTGATAGATTCTGTCCTTCGGTTGACTTAGGGGTCATGAATTCCACTAACTCTGTTAATAATCTATTAATCATTTCTTGTTTTCTATTATCAGTTACACTAGATAACTTGCCATTCCACAGCTTATGTAACACTTGAACAAGCCATGTTTCTCTACATTCATGTCTTCTAGTTAATAATTCAGAATGTTTAGACGAATATCGCCATGTGACATCTTGAACTTCGTCAGCAGAAAAAGCCAGAACATAAGTTAACTGCTTCCCCCAGCCAGATTCATACAAAAGAGGTTTATCACAGATATTTTCACAGGGATCACAATGTAACCACCGTTTTTGTGAAGGAGAATACACTTCTGTCCATACATGATCTGTCCAGTCCAGCACATATCTAGCTTCAAATCCCATAGCTCTACAACAAAGTGTAAAACAGTTTGCCCATTCTCCACAACGACCACATCTGGTTTCCAACAATTTCTCTGGACTGTTATATCGGGGAAATCGTATAAACTTCTGACACTTTTCACATTTGTAATTTTCAACACGACCCGCTCCCCACCTTGAATCATCAGCAGTAGGAGTTACCATTCCAACACTTGTTGGTTTGCTATCACAAGTATCACATGGAGGTGCATCAACCCATTTAAAAAAGGAGTTTTTAAACCATGCTAAAAGTTCTAGGATCAAACAATCTCGTATTCCAATGTCACCTACATTACCAGACTGTGCTAATGCCTGAAACGATTTCTGTGCTTTCTCTATTAAATGCTGTGTTGGTATAACATGTCTTGCTTTGGCCTGGAGACCCTGATTTTCATATTTCAAAACATGAGACAAGTTACTCTCAATCTTTTGGAAAAACTGACGTTCTAATTGCTGAAAGAAACAAGAGAGTATTGAATAAACAAAAGAATTTCAGTTGAATATTTGCAATAAATCTAACATTCATCTTCATCTTTTGAAATTATTTTTCTAGAAAACAACAGTATAACAAAACATATCAGAAAAAAATCTCAGTAAAACCCCTTAATGAAATAAGTATTAGTATGACCTGTAGAAGATGTCTATGGTTAAACACTGACAGTTTGCTATTCACTAACAGTGCCTGTTTCAAGCAAAGAACAAGTACTGTGTATCATTATTCGTTGGATACCAATTTTGTGGATTTCCTTGCTACAGGTCAACCTCAAATTCAAATGGTCAAAGAATTGAAAAAAGTAATAAAGGCTTGTATGCAGACTTTGGAACAACCACGAAATAAAAAATCCACGAAAATCCAAGTCGTTCTCAATCCAGGAAAATTGATATCAAAGAAGAAAAAAAAATTTACAGTAATATTCCAATAGTTGTATATTAGTTTTGCTACATGTGTACATGCACTTGTTAATGATGTTTATTGAAGTTAGCTAACTAAATCAGATTGTAACACATAATATTTTTTAACTTCTTCCATTTATTTTGTTGGCTTTTAGAGTTTGACATAATGTATGTAATTGAAGTTTTCGAACACAGGCAAATTGAAAATTTTAATTACCTGATGATTTATATGTAGGGAAACAATTTCACCTCATCTCCTTTTTAAATAATGCATTAAATTTCATATACAGATGACCAAATGTAAGGCATGCTTCAGATGCAAATGAAACTAGAGGATCTAAAGAGCCTGTGTCGCTTCCCTTGGTCTATATGCATATTCAACAAAGGACACTCTCCAACATTGTAGACGAGAATAGAATTCATGAAAAAAAATCTCTGTTTTGTTGATCTCATATTGCTGATCATTTGGTCTGTTTAGTTTTTCTCTATCTTCTTTAGTTTTTGCTCAAAACACAAAAAAGGGTAAAAAAAATCCTCATTCAAGGGCAATCGCTCCTATAAAGAGTGACAGTGTACTAACTATATGGGCAAAATTTGACTTGTTAGTAGATCTTGCCTTGCTGATAATGTTTTGTGATTTATAGTGTCTACTTATCTATTTTAATTTTTATCATATAAGGCACAACGCAAAAAAATGGTAAAAATCACCATTAAAGGGCAGACAATTTCATTTCCTTCATGTTGTCTTATTAGTAGAACTTGTCTTGCTGATCATTAAGGAATGTAAAGTTTCTCTCTATCTACATGTATTATAGTTTTCAAAATAATAGGCAAAAATGAAAAAAATGGTAAAATTTGTCATTAAGGGCAATAACTCCTATCAGAAGTCTTCTGACAATTTTGACATATATAAACAATTGGTAGAGCTCAACATTCTGAACATTTTTGCCCGTCAGATTTTCACTATTTATAACAGTTTTCAAAATAATAGTCAAAACTTGCATTTTACCCTTATGCTCTATTATTAGCCATGTCGACCATCTTGGTTAGCAGGCGGGGTCATCGGACACATTTTTAAACTAGATACCCCAATGATGATTGTGGCCAAGTTTGGTTAAATTTGGAACAGTAATTTCAGAGGAGAAGATTTTTGTAAACAGACATCCACGCTGACAGACGGACACTAAGTGATGAGAAAAGTTCACTTGACCTTTCGGCCAGGTGAGCTAAAATGCAATACTGTACCATCAGCTAACTCAAAGTTTTTGAAAAAAAAATTTGTAGTTATATCATATTTTGACTTAATTTAATACATGTACATATACATTGACTCAAACTAAAAATCTTTAAATATCTATCTTATTTTAGTAAATAACTATGACAGTTTATTCCATTTAAATTCACTTGAAGAAGCAAACAAAACATTTTAGTCATAAAATTGTGTCAATGTCAATAGTTGGCCATAATTTAAGATTCCTAATTCAACAATTGTACATATATATTTCTTTCATGTGTGATTTCTATTTTATTTAAAAAGACATTGTGTATATGTAAACGGTTAAAACCAGTGTAGTGTTTCCTGTGATAAGCTGAAGGAAGGATGTTTTGTTATCTCTTAAATTTTATCTTGATTTATAATATTTCATTTTCCATTAATCTGTCATTTCAAAGACAGATAAAAAATCTAAAATACATTAATTTGGTTTGTCCCTGTACTTTACATAGTATTTTTGTAGGTAAAAAGGGATGTTTTTCCAGTCTAATGGCAATGCATGTATATTTTTTTTTTACAAACATTTCATCATTTTTTTTAGTTTAATATTTAACTGGTTCAAGTTTTTGATGATATGGAAGTAGTGGTAATTTGTTACTTCTAATTATAAGTTGATAAGTTTCAGGTACAATAGGGTTTTTTACAAGTCTATGTACACATAGGAGTAACCTATAATTTGGAGGTAATAAATGTGGCCTTCTTTTATTTTAGGGGTCCCAACCCATTTGAGCTATACAAAACTATCATTAACCCTAATTCTTATTACATAAACCCATACAATGAACCTGTTTTAAGCAAGTGGTTGTTGTTCTTGATTCATGGTTTGTAGATGTATATGCACGTTACCTGATAATTTTGAAGTATAGCAGAAGAAGTTGAAGGTCTTGGTTGAGAAATTGGTCTGGCTGGTTGTACACTACCACCTGCAGCTTGAGGTCCATTTATAGACATAGGTGAAACCTTCTGTATTTCCTGAAGTAGACTGTCTCGAATGGTCTTAACCTGAGAGGTTGGAGAGGTTCTTGGCAATGTGAGATATTCTCCATCCTAAAAATAAAATAAAACATTAATGAAAGCCCATACCTACATGTACTGAACAACAAAGGATGCAGAAATTGTTTCACATAATTCCTATCATTTTAGGAATTATAAGTCATGGTAATTTTTTCAAAGTGTCAAATTCATACCAGAATTCACAACATAAAGCCAAAATTTGTTTTCCAAACTCATTCAATTCTCAAATTATAATTTCTTGAAAAGCTTTGTTTTCCAAAGTTCCAAACTCTTCATTGAACTCATAAATAATAATTTCTGGCAAAGCTCCCTGTTGGGTCTCCTCTTCTGAATCTTCCTGTTTGGCAGCCTGGGAGAAGACACTTTTCCTTTAAATTTAGAAGTGTGGTGACCCCTGGTCTCTGCTCTTACTCCTGAATGGTGCGTGCTTAGCAGAGAAGCAGCAAATATCAGTTTTAGTGTCTTTGGTTTGGTCAGGCAGGGGTTCCAGCCCAAGACCTGCACTCAATGTGAGTACACTACTACAATACTACCTAGGCAGTTACTTGTGAACTGAATGTTTTAAGACAATTTTTACATACAAAGGGGAAATAACTCAATATTTTATTCAAACAATAGCCAGATTCCCATTCAGTTGTTTCCACATTTTCTGTATTCAGCGTCAAGAAATCTAGATATTAATTATTTCAAATCATTAAATATAAAACATGCATAAAAGTGTGTTTTTCAATATACGTGTATTCTAATTATTCTGATAGAAGAAAATGATCATTTCAATTTGTTCAAGACACTTAATATAATCAGATGATGGAGGGATTAGCTCATCCCGTATGCTCTAAATTGCTCTTATATTTACATCATTAATTTACTTCACTGTTGTGACACCGTTATGATTCTGTGATTGTAACAAAATGTTCAGATTCATAAATACTTTTAAAATATTTGATTGGCACTGATTTTAGAACTTGTCCCAGACATTTCTGATATAAACCTATGATATAAGTTTTATAAAAATCTGTACAGGCGAGAGCGCTAACAAGACCTGACAGACAGAGGCATGGACATACACCCAGTACTTCTATGTCCCTGCAACGGGTGGTGCAGGGGCAAATAACTGTAATGAATTGACTTTTTTTAATGTGAATTTACTGTTTTTTACTTTCTTGTCGCTAATTTTTTCTTCTTGTTGATAATTTTTTCCTTCTTGTCAGTAGTTTTTTTCTTGTCGCCAATTAGTGAGACCGACAATTAACAGTTGATACATACTTTTTCAAAACACATATATTCAATTAAAATTAGTCTGGTATAAACAGAAGGATTAATGGAATTTGATGAAGCCAATTGACATGATTGAATGGTCAACAATGTGGTGTTTTTGACATAATTTCTTGGTAAATACCTCTTGAAATCCCATTTCAAAGATACATTCAAGAGCTCCGACAACCGGTAAAAGTTTGGTTTCCACAGTTGGATTTCCTAGTCTTATTTTGCGATATTTTTCTTCATTTGGATTACTTAGTATATTGTCTGCAAATTTCAAAATTATTTTAGCTGCCTGAACAAAATCGTCTTTCGAATTTTCAGTTGAAAGAGATCTTATACTTTGAGGGATCGGTGCCATTCTTTACCGGAAGTGTACGTGTTACCAAATGGTATGAGTAAAGGAAAGATTTTTCTCGGACGACTAGATTTTCCGGGGAAGCACGATCGTCGATCCTCCGAACTTTCCCGAGACCAAGTGACACTATATTCATGTCTGTTCAAATATACCATTTATGGATAATATATTATAAAAGGGAACTGGACAACAGACAAAGTCTATATAAATCATCTCTCATAACAAGGTGGAACAAGACATCTGATATGTACCTGAAATAATTAACACCGTCATATGGGAGCACTGATTAGTCAATCCACCAGTAATGGATGTGCTTAATTTAAATCCAGGTCATTTGACCTCTTTTTGAAAGTCAATTTGTCTCATTGGCAATTATACCACATCTCCTTATTTTATATATAGATGTAATAATTTTTCAAGACTCAAAATTTAAACACGCTGGCAGACTAAAAGGCATGATAATCTGAGTCGAAATCAATAATATAATCATAAAAAAGAATACATTAATGGTGGAGCTAAGGCAGATTTAGGGGATGCAGGAGGCCCATGCACCCCCTTATGGAGCTAAATATATGTATTTTAAGTTAATGCATAGACTTTTCACTATCCCACTCCAGGAACATATATATTGACTGTTCCCAGCCCACTCCTAGCTTTGTCTTGTTGGTTCCCAGGATTTTTTTTTTAAATCCCGCATCTGTGGAGTGCCGATAATAAAAAGGCTTGCTGATGATGCATTCTTCCTGGAATGCCTACATTTTATAAAATATCTATTCCTCTAATGACAACACAATAAATTGAAATGCATGAAATAAACTTTATAAATTTCGTTCGTTTACCATCATCAGAAATGCTCAAACCCAAATATTTGAAAGTCTGGGATGTATCATACTAACATAGAAAAGTAAGGAGCGAAAGAGACATAAAAAGAATAGCCAATTAAATTCATCAAAGGTCAAGGTTGCCCGAAGGAATTGGAACCTTACTTTCTTCATAAATTTCCTACATCATCGGGCCACTGTGTGAGAGAAAACATTAGAATTCGGTAAACACGAAGTTGATGAGTGATGGACGTGAAATCGCATCACAGGTAAAGCATAGTTGATAATTTCTGTATCATTTGGTCTCTTGTGGAGAGTTGTCTCATTGGCAATCCGAGACATACCACTGATGATCTTCTTTTTTTGATAATCACATTGGTTAAGCATGTTAAGGTTGATAACAAATTTCAGAAAGCAGTCTGATTAATCATTTGTAGTTTTTGATAAAAATGCAACGAAAATGACGGACTGGACGGGCACGCAGTTGGACGGACCAGGAACATATATATATATATATATATATCGGGGAGTCCGAGATTTTATCAATTTTATACTAAAAAGCCTGTCAGATTCATTTCCCGTTAGATATACTGTTCCCAGGACGGACAGAGCCTACTCCAGCATGATAAACCCCTTTCGGGTGGGGATATAAAATGACATACATTTGAACATTAATCGACATTTTATACAGATTTTTAAAATATAACAATCAATTCGAGGAAAGTGAGACATAGATAGCCAATTCTATATCAGTCACTTCTTCAAAAAGAATAATTATTTTTTCAGTGCTGGGCATATGCATATTATTATGAATATGAATGTAGCTAATCTAAACTCAATTACACGTGTTTGGTGGTTTCCTAAGCAAATCGTGCTAAAATCAACCGGTTTCATAATAGTATCTATGTCTATGACACAGTTTTTCCTAACTAGATTAATCCATTTTAACGAATTTATACAATTACTTCCCTTTATACGGCTGTACAAAATCATTTTTATTTAAATGAACAATCTTTGTAATACTGATAATGTTCGGAATAAGTATTTAAATGAAATAATATTTAGTACTTTATAAAAATATGTTCCGGGTATAATTTTGTTGTATTGTATTTTAAGTTGAAGAAGTTTTATTACAGAAATACCTTTTCACTTTCTGAATTCGAGAAAAATCGCTTCATTTATATGTCCATATTACAGCGCACATCTAAGCATATTAAAAATATGCACATCTACATATGAGTTTTTGCATCTGTCACTATTTAAATAGTGACTGGACGACATTTAAATATCTCCATTCTGTTTGAATACGATTTCCATCATGCATTAAGGCTGTTTTATCAGTAAAATAAATAACGAAATTCCTCGAAAAAACACAACAACAGTTACCCATTGACAAATTTCACGACAACAAACACAAAGCTGCAGTAAAGATTGAATAAGGAAACAGTTTGATCCACAAACATTGAATTTGTAGACAACAGTTTTTATGGAATTCCCCATACGAGGAAACAAACGCTTGGACGAATGGCATTGTTGGAGTTTTCGTTATCTTATCGGGAAGCAAATCAAATCGTTATAGATTTTTTATTTGATTTGCATATTGACATTAGGTCTTCAAACTTCTTTGATTTAATGCAACAGCTAGGGCATAAACTGCCAAAAATAGCCTTATTTTGAGATCTTGACATCGATATTCAGATATCAAAAACAGCTTTATCCAGAAGCCTATTGTTTAACCTGTTCATTTATCAATAAATTGTAATTTTGAAAGGCTTGAGTAATTTTACCATATTGTAAATTAAGAAATTATTGCTGCATATATAATTGCGATTTTCAAATGAACAAAATTGCGAGATTAATTATTGCGATTTCAGGAAAAACTGCAGAGAGATACATGTATCAGATATATGAATGTGACTTCTTATTATTGCGATACTTACCAAGTCACATTATTGGTATATAGTAGTCTCAGTTGGCATTAATAAAAACCTTACAACAGTTTCTTGATTTTCAGTATTTGCATTTGCAGATGCCTCCTCTATGATCCAGCCTAATGTATTTTCATGAATTAGCTAACCAAATGGCATGCTTCAAATCTGAGACTACTACAACTGTTATATAGTAGTCTCAGTTCAAATGAAGAAAAAAATATATATGCACTGAATTTTTAAGGTACATACCGAAGACATTTTCTTTCATTCCACTGTTAGAGACCAAGTTTGTTACTGTTTACTTTTTCCACTAATTTCAGAAGTCCAGAGCTGTGGTTTCGATTTTCAATGTTGCAAATTAGTAATCCATGTTATCTAATTGGTCCTTTGAATAAACATGTTCTTACAGGTTATCAATTTAACATCAGGTATGAGTCCAGGATTTTGAAAAAGGGGGGACCAACCCTTGGCAAGCCACAGTTTGGAGTAATACTTGTAAAATATCTATGCATTTATCACATATGAAGCTCAATAAGGGAGGCTGTCGCCCCCCCCCCCCCCCCCCCCCCCCCAAAAAAAAAACCCTGCTTATGAACATTGTGTTGGTAGCTGGACTTCTGAATTTGTATAAAGTGTACAGTGACAGATAGTTTGCTTGAAATTTACTAATCACAGAAACTTCAGGATGTTCAATGAACCATAAAAATGGGGTAACAGTCAGGTCTGAGACTACTATAACACATGTGTTATAGTAGTCTCAGGTCAGGTGAACCCTGTCATACAGACATGAACACCTTACTGAGTCCTTATGCATACTTCAGTTGATCTATTACCTGATTACGTTTAGTTCTTAGGAATTTAACCAAATCCTGAACACTTGAATGTTGATCCTTAAACCATAAAAAAATAATAACTAGAGGATCTAAAGAGCCTGTGTTGCTCACCCAGGCACATGTGCATCTGCAACAACGGACACTCTCCAGCATTGTGGACGAGCATAGAATTCATGACTAAAATCTCTTCTTTGTTGATCTTGTATTGTTGATCATTAATTTTGTTTATAGTTTCTCTTTATCTTCTTCATACTTTGACAAAAACACAAAAAACGCTAAAATTGTCATTTAAGGGCAATCACTCATTTAAAGAGTCTACAAACTATTTAGGCAAAATTTGACTTCTTTGTAGATCTTGCCTGGCTGCTAATTTTTGCTATTTAAAGTGTGTCTATCTATCTTTTATAGCTTTCAAGACAATATGAAAAAACGTAAAATATTGGTAAAAATCGTCATTAAATAGCAAGATCTTCAATAAAGAGGGCCAGAGAACACAGTTATTTTGTAGTGCATTTCTTTTAGACAATAAATTTGAATTAAAAAAATCGCACCTGCTCTCTCTCAAAAATATTTTTAGTGTAGTGTACTACTTTTAGGACAAATAATACCAAAATTATAGAAAAGTCTACCAGCTCTAACTCAAAATATGGACAATTCTATGTAAGGGGGTCTATAATTCAGTTTGACACCTTCAGGAATACTAACTTTTGACCTTTTTTATCTGGACCAAATCACTACTTTACATAAAAATTCATCACCCAAATTTTTTAACATGTAATTTCATCCCCCTACTTAAAATTTCAAGCATAAAATATAAAGAAATAAATTTGGAAAGTGTATGAAAAAAATTTGCAAGTTTAATACAATGTCCACACTAGGGACTATATTCGTAGACAACGAAAATCAAAGTAAGATAACTGTGTCCTTGGACCAAAGTTGACTGACGATTTCGGCTATAGTTGACTTATGTGTAGATCTATTCTTGCTGTTCATTTTTGCTCATTTAGGTTTTTATCTGTTATACTTTTCAGATAAATGGCAAAAATGCAAAAAACTTGGAAAAATCTTCATTAAAGGGTAATAACTCCAATAAGGGGTTGTCAGACGATTTCAACAAGTCAACATTTTTATAGATCTTGTTTTGCTGATCATTTTTGATTATTTAAGTTTTCTATCTATTTATTATAGTTTTTCAGATAAAAGACAGAAAACACAAAACATTAGTAAAAATGGTCATTGAAGGGCAATAACTATTTTTTCTATTTAAAGTTTGTATCTATTATACTTTCCAAGATAATAAGGCAAAAATATAAAAAATTTGGCAAAATTCCATATTTAAGGGCAATAACACCTGTAAGAAGTTGTCTGACAGTTTTGATGTAAATGGGTAATAGGTAGATCTTATCATTCTTAACGTTTCTGCCCATGTCAGATTTTCTCTATTATGCCTCGTTCACACGTACATTTAATTCGAATTGAATTCGAATCAAATGCGAATCGAATTCGCTAATCGCGTTCACACACTCTTCTTTTTTAATTCGAATTGATTCGAATTGGCTAAATCGCATTATCCAATTCGCATTAGAAATGCGTTTTTGTTAATACGAAATAAAAAGTTAACGTCGTTAGGACAGTAAAGCGAATTTGACGCGAATTGTAATTCGAATTAGAATTTACGTTTGGACGTTAAACGTTTCGAATGCGAATTAAACTAATTCGAATTAGTTAATGCGAATCGAATTCGAATTACGTGTGAACGCAGCATTAATGACGGTTTTGAAGATAATAGACAAAACTTGCTTTTTACTCCTATGTTCTATTTTTAGCCACTTGGTTCATGTTGATTGGCAGGTGGGGTCATCAGACAATTTTTTAAAACTAGGTACTCTAATAATGATTGTGGCCAAGTTTGAATAAATTTGGCCCTGTTGTTTTAAGGAGAAGATTTTTGTAAAAGTTTACGACGGATGATTGACGACAAGTGATAAGAAAAGCTCTCCTTGCCCTTTGGGCCAGGTTTAAGCTAAAAAGGTCATGGTAAAATTAACTCTGTTAAATTGACATGTAAACTTAGCAATAATAAAAAGACTCAATATAGTTGACCTATAACTTAATAATAGTAAATATGAAACTGACCTTTGTCATGCTGGAGCTTTAAAAACTGATTGTACAATATCAAGTTTTGCTAATTTTTGAAATTCCGTATGGTGACCTATAGATGCATAAATCCATATCATTTGATTATCTCATTGGCAATCATACCACATCTCCTTATCTTATACTAATCATGAAAACTTAATGTTGATCAATAAACAATGAAAGCAGGAAGACCCTGCAAAGCTGACATGTACACCTTGCAATGATTCTATAGAAAATATGTAGAATCTGAGCCAATTGCTATAAAAATTGTTCAGTGAACCATTAAAATGAGGTCATGGGTAATGGACATATGCCATTAACCAAATCCAGTAATTTCAGAAATTATTTTTTCTATAAGTGCACATTGTTGGATGACTGTATGGATGACAATTAGAAAATGATTATAAAACTTGAAAAGAACTGGTCCTGGGAAGCTAATGAATGATAATACTATGTACGCCATGTAAGCTTTTATATTTAGCATTTTCTTCTTCCATTCTAAGTGGCACTCATAAATATCTGAAATAACTAAGTGCCTATTCAAATGTTCAATACATTTAGTTATGTCAGTTCAAGTATTGACTAGAAGAAACAAAGATCCCCAAAATACATACATTTCTTTAAAAAAAAAGTCTGATCTGCAATGAGGTTGAATCAACAATGTTTGTTATAGTACAACTTTTTTTATAGACCTTGGACTGGTGACGAGACTAATTTCCATCAACCCTTCACTGTTTCGTGAATAAAAAGATTTTTATGTATATATAACAGCATTTATTTTATCAAAATATCTGTAATACATATAAAATAACAAAAAATTAACTATACTCATTTCTTGGTTTAGTGTAGAAATTTACAATAATACCATTCCTTCAAACATCCTTAAAATAATGCTAAAAATAAGTCAATCCTGTGCTTTTTGAAGAGGCTTTGACGTTTCTCAATACCAATGGGTAAAGGTTTTCATGTTACAGTTTAAATTTAACACTTCAATTTGTTCACTTGCTCAGAAATAGTTAAAGGGTTGTTAGCATAAAGTAAGTGCAGAGTAATAAAAAAAGAACTTACCATCCAATTTCAATGATTAAATTTCTGTTCAATGAAAAATGTATGGAAAATATAGCACCTATTTATCAGACATACTATAAAACAAGAGGACCACCTGTGCCTTTATGGCTCACCTAGAAAAAAAAACCAGTTTGCTAACTTAAATCCAATTATTTTTGAGATAACAGCCAAAATGGCAAAAACAATAAAACTTAACATTTCAGGCACAATAACTCAAAAACAGGCAGTCAAATTTTCAGAGTAGATAGATCTTGTCATGCTGACAATTTTTGCATCTTACATTTTTAATCTAGCTCCAATAGATTTCATAACAGCAAAAAAATGGGAAAACTGGGGGAAAAAAATGTATATATTTGAGGGGCAATAACTCCAAAAACTAAAAAGGAAAACTGCAAGTTAAAAAATAATTTGCCTGTTGTTTATCTCACAGTAATATGGATATCCTTACATGCCCTACCAGTCATACAAATCATTTGGATTTTCAAGTTAAAGCTTCTGATTTATTTTTCCTTTTTACATAACATTAACAGTTACAAACTACATACATACATATATTACTGTAAAGTCATTAATAAAATAATGAAACATACTGGGTAGAGTTATAAGTAAGATATTTTAAATGAAAAGATTTAGCTCAACAAGAAAACAAACAAGCATGGATTAATTTAAGTTAAACATTGCTGTAACATCTACTAATTTATGCTTCCTCCACCACTAAATACTGGCCTCCACAGAATAGCCAATAGTGCAGAAAGTTGTGTTAAACACCAACAAATCAATCAATCAATCTACGAATTTATTCATAGCAGTTTCTTCTTCTAAAATCAACACTTCTTGCTTTAGCAATTTAAATAAAGTCACCAAATTATATTCTCTTTTTTCTGCTTACATTAATTAAGTGTATGAATGGCTGATTAACTTATTTCTGTTCACAAAGGGATAGTTGGGGCAATATGCGTAATTGATTTTACATATGCGGTAATGGTAACGTTTTCCTCTGTAGCACAGTCCATATCTTAAATTTGGATATGCATGATGGCTCATTTCGAAGCTGAGACATTTTCACATATGTGGTTAAATTTTCAGGTACGAGGTGTGATTCATTTTTCTGTAAATTAGCACACCCCGAAAATCCTTTCGTGATGCGGCTCCTGGTGGTAAAAACTCCCTTTTTTCACACAATGAGTTCTTTGAAAATTTAATACTTTGCATACATTTAATAACTGCATAGTTTTTACAAATTTATTCTATGGTCCTCTACTTTTCAAATTAACACAAATGATTAAGCTCATTCACTTGTTAAAAATAGAAACATGTCCAATATCACTACACAGAGATTTTTTGTTTACGCACAACTTTTGTGTTCCTCAAGTTGAGGCGCATTAGGGATATTGACCCAGTTTAAAGCTTTTTTAACTTATGCAATTTTCATCAGCTGTCACAGGGGATGCAACTAACACTTTAGTGTTTGTATACTTCTGTAGTGAAAAGCAATTACTGTATAAACATTAATTTTCATGGGGTTAAAATTTCGTAGTTTTGTATCCAAAAGTAAGTTCGTGGGGATTAATTTTCGTGGTTTTTAAGTTTAGAAAATAATTATATAAATGTCACTCTATAATTGACAATACTCAATAAAACTGATCTGAACTTTCGCCGTTGGGAAAAATCAATAATTGCATTTCATAGTAACAGTGAGCACTAATCAAGTGTTGTAACCTGCATACGCTAATTGGCTTTTACACACCTTTTATGTTTTATCCAAGGACAATGATTGTGTAATAAATGTATTACGACTTCATCAATTATATAAAGTCTATAAGATTTTGTCAGATCATAAAATAATGTAAATCTAGAGTTAAATTTTCGTTGGGGTTTTAATTTCGTGGATAATTCTTATCCACGAAATAAACGAAATTAAATCCCCCACGAAAATTTCTGCTTTTACAGTAGTTAAAAAGTAAATTGTAGATTTAGCATTTATTTTGTAACTTTTATATTCATACTTGAAATTCCGTTTGAATGTACATTTTTTGTGCGAAAGTTATAGATAAATTTCTGAATCATGCCACGAAATAAACGAAATTAAATCCCCCACGAAAATTTCTGCTTTTACAGTAGTTAAAAAGTAAATTGTAGATTTAGCATTTATTTTGTAACTTTTATATTCATACTTGAAATTCCGTTTGAATGTACATTTTTTGTGCGAAAGTTATAGATAAATTTCTGAATCATGCCACGGAATAAACGAAATTAAATCCCCCACGAAAATTTCTGCTTTTACAGTAGTTAAAAAGTAAATTGTAGATTTAGCATTTATTTTGTAACTTTTATATTCATACTTGAAATTCTGTTTGAATGTACATTTTTTGTGCGAAAGTTATAGATAAATTTCTGAATCATGCCATTTAACTAAAATTTCTGATTACAAAAGTGCTGATAAGTACTTATAATTTTGATTTATATATATATATATTTTCATGATTTAAATCTACTACCTACAATGTTCTTATTGTTGTTAGTGCTACATTCAAGATCATCAAATGGTTACTTGAATGCCCTAACAATATAACAATGAGGCCCCTCATGGGGGTGTCCAAGTAATCACATAATCACAAACTTTTTGCCAATATAATCACATAATCATTAATTATTTTTTTAAACAAGGTAATCAAATTATCAAAAATACATGCAGTCCTAGATTATCAAATAATCAAATAATCATGAAATATTTGGTCTGATAATCAAATAATCACTATAAAAAAAGCCAAGTAATCACATGATCAAAAACCCCATGAGGAGGCTAAACAATAAGGTAAAATTATGATAAAAAAAATGCTGAAAGGATGTCTCAACAATGGCTAAATCAAGATATATCATGGAATTATACTTTGTAAAAAAGATACATTCCACACCCCATGCTCAAGAATAATTGAACAAACCAAGGCTTTTCAACAGCAATAAAAGCACTGTTTCTTTGCTTGGTTTTTTCATGTGCATGCAGTGTTGAGATACAGATCAAGGATTTTGAAAGGGGGGACTCACAAAGAAGGCAACATTAGTAGGATTTGTCAAAAGTCTGCATTAACAATATACCCCTAAATCCGTCTATGGTGATTGATACAACTTATTATTTCTTTCAATTTTCTATTGTATATCCCTAGAACACAATACAAAATTAAATACATTCAGAAACTGTATTCTGCAGGATAGTATTCACATTTAATTAAAAATTTTAATTAATATTTAAGATATATCTATAACTGAAATATTTGGGTTAAATTATTTTTATTATAATTTCGAATCTTTACTGTTTTGTTCTATCACACCAGATTGTAACAATTTTTCTATGACACTATCACTATAACCCATTTCTCTCATAATCATTAGTGTTTGTTGTCCAATCACAGGCTGAGGTAGGACCTTATCAACTCCTGGTGTCCTTGACAACCTAGGTGCTGGACCGGGCTCATAGCTACCAGACTCATCCTGTAAAAATGTCTTATTATCCACATTGTGTAAATGTTCTGCTGCCTCTTTAGGTTCTAGTACTGGACTTACACAGGCATCTAAATTTTGAAATTGGTATACCCATTCATCACGAGACTTGGTAAGAAAAACGTCTTTAAACAGTTTCTTCATTTCTTCAGGATCATCTGTTTGTTCAATATGTTCTAACCCAAGACCTGAAAAAAAAAAAAAAAAATTAAAACCAAATTTATACAGCAAGGATGGATTGTTCTATTTAAACATACCTGAGAAAGGTAGCATGTTGTTTTCTTTAATGTATGTAGAGTATGATTTAAGAATAAAACATAGATGTGGGTGTTATACCATTCATTCTTAGCTTAATAAATTCGTCAATTCTTGTCCATTTTTATTCCTTTTTAGCTGTTTTTTAAGAATGCATAACTAATACGGCAGTAGCTCATTTGCTTTCATTTAAAATTATATGAAATTTGTTTGTTGGTTGATGTTTAACACAATTTCCAGCGACCTTGGTTATATCAAGTCGGCCACTTTTTATAGGTGGAGGAAACAGGATTTCCAAGAGAGAACCACACCCTTCTGCAGGGAAATTAAAATTTTGTGCCATCATCTGATTTTATTTTTTGCTGTTTTGGTTAAAAAATGTGATTGATAATATCATTTATAAGAACACTTTTTGTACCAGAAAGAGGTAATCAATGGCTGACCATATTTGGCATTAAATTAAAAAACATATTCTACAACAGTCTTATTATGTTCATTTTTTTTATCCTCAAATAATTTTTTAATCGGTGAAACTGGTCTTCTTTGAATCCTTTGAAAAATGGAGAGATTTTGTTCTGATTAAACAGGTTTTTTTTCCTGTATGCCTGATAAAAAAAGTTCAATTCACACAGGTTTCTGATTAATGCAAGGGTTGGGGTAGACTGTTGGTTTCATTGTATTAATAAATTGCAAAAACTGTAAGTCTCAACTTCAAAATTCATAAAATTATCAATAATGTATGAATATTGGTGAGATAATAATTCTATATTTAATTAGTAAACCATACCTTTTATCAATTCCTTAAAAAATTGTGGCTCCAATGCTCCAACCGATATGTATTTTTTGTCTTTGGTTTCATAGACACCATAAAATGCTCTCCCACCATCTAAAGTATTATCTCCCCTTTCTCTGCCCCAAATATATGGAATTTTCTGAGAATTAGATAACCAACTTCCTGCAAATAAAAGCATTATATTTAAATAACTTATTACAGATTTCTTGAAATTATTCATACCTTATTTAGTTATTAAGACTTTCTGCCATATATTTAATGCATCTATAACAGGTGATATACTTTTTTTCCATTGCAGTTGTCTTCCCTTTTACCAGAAGAAAATAAAATGTATTATGTTATGTTATCCCATGTCAAGAAGCCTCGCTTTTATAGTAACGGTAAAAAACGTAAAGAGTAATGTCTTTTTCATCTTAAAAATAATAAGAGTTGCTTTCCTGTTACAGGACAACTTCCCTGTCAAAATTTGCCTCACGGTTAAATTTAAGATTTAATCAGTTTTAAGACCATGACATTATTAACTACTGTTAATTTAGAAATTTGTTTGCACATTTATTATTGCAACTGTTGAACACAAGAGACTAAATTATTCCCAGTTTAGGATATGCTACAAACAAATCATGCTATACACATTTAAAATGTGAGTTTTTTATTTTTGCCAAACCTAGTATCCTGTTGAAATTTGCAAAATCATAAAGAGATTTATGGTCCATAACATTGTGTTCAAATTTCAAAAGATTTGAAACTCATTATTATCAATGTCAGCTAGAAATTCTTGATACCAAACTTCTAATGTAACTAAGCAGCATAACTCTTGAACAGTAAATGTCAACATCATCATAATAGATGTTTACCTGTAGTTTTCTGGTTCATGACATTCTTTTAAAATTTCAAAAGATGTGGTGAAGCAGGACTTAAGTTATCATCCTGAAACCAAACTTGCGACAGAAAGACATACGACAGATAGACGGACATATGGCATCATTTTTATCCCCAATTTCCAATACAGGGGTATAAAAGCTTTGCAAAAATTTCTGAATTTACAGTTTTCACTTTTTACAAATAAAATGTATCTTCATAATGCAATCAATAGAAATGTTGCTAACAGAGGAAGATTTCCCTTTAGCATGAATACTGCATCCTGTGAAGTAATGTATTTGAAAGATACATTCGTTTATAATTAACACAAAATTCTAAAAATTTATGTATCAGTATTTCTTTTTAGGTTTAATATATTTTGTGTTGCTTTATCACTGATATATACCAAACATAACATTTTTTCATGCAGTTCATATGTGTAATAATTAATATTTCTTGTTAATTATGTAAAATCTTAATCTCCTGTTATCGGTGGTAGTTTTCAATTTTTTGTTTAGCTTACCTACATATGCTGAGCCTTCTACCATACTATTATCAACAACTTGTCCTTTACCAGAAATACTTCTCTCATACAAAGCCATTACAATTCCTAAAGCACATGTTAAACCACCACCAGCAAAGTCGGCAAGTAAATTCACAGGTTGCAATGGGGGCTCTCCTTTCTTCCCTAGATATGACAGTAAACCTGCAATTAAAAAAAAAAAAATCAGTCATATATGCTCTCGTTCTTCCCAAGAAATGACAGCAAACCTGCAATTAAAAAAATGTCAGTCATATATGCTTGAGAGTTTTTTGCTAATGGTGCTTTACGTAATGTTTTACCCATTATTCAAAATATGAAGGAAGATCATATATTTCATCTTATATCTAATACATTTTTCTTTCAATATCTTATTTAATATATATGTTTTAAAATTTAAGTATGGTAACAGTAAACAAGAGGCTCTCAAGAGCCTGAATCGCTCACCTGTATTTCAGAGGAGAAGATTTTTAAATGTTAGCAAATTTGATGAACAAATTGTGTAAAATTGTCTTTAAAGGGCAATAACTCCTTAAGGGGTCAATTGACAATTTTGGTCATTTTAACTTTTTTGTAGATCTTACTTTGCTGAACATTATTGCTGCTTAGTTTATATATATCTATAATAATATTCAAAATAATAACAAAAAACTGCAAAATTTTGTTAAAACTACCAATTCGGTGGCAGCAACCCAACAATGGGTTGTTCGATTCGTCTGATAATTTCAAGGCCGATAGATCTTGACCAATTAAACAATTTTACCCGTGTCACATTTGCTCTAAATCATTTAGTTTTTGAGATATAAGCCAAAAACTGCATTTGACCCTTATGTTCTATTTTTAGCCATGATGGCCATGTTTGTCAATGGATACAAACTTCGGATACAATTTATAAACAAGATACCCTAAGGACATTTAGTTAAAGTTTGAAGGTAATTGGCCCAGTAGTTTCAGAGAAGAAGATTTTTAAATGTTGGCAAACTTGATGAACAAATTGTGTAATATTGTCTTTAAAGGGCAATAACTCCTTAAGGGGTCAATTGACAATTATGGCCATTTAACTTTTTTGTAGATCTTACTTTGTGAACATTATTGCTGCTTACAGTTTATATATATCTATAATAATATTAAAAATAATAACAAAAAACTGCAAAATTTTGTTAAAACTACCAATTCGGTGGCAGCAACCCAACAATGGGTTGTTCGATTCGTCTGAAAATTTCAGAGCTGATAGATCTTGACCAATTGAACAATTTTACCCCATGTCAGATTTGCTCTAAAAGCTTTAGTTTTTGAAATATAAGCCAAAAACTGCATTTTACCACTATGTTCTATTTTTAGCCATGACGGCCATGTTTGTCAATGGGTCAAAACTTCGGATACAATTTATAAACAAGATACCTTAAGGTAACACGATACCGAATGAAGTTACGCCACGAGTTATCGTTCCTGACGTTATCGATTAATGTTCACACATACAAGCCAATGCAGCAGGTTCTGCAATCACAAAGTGATTATTTAAAATAATAAAAAAAACATTTTTGGTAATTCATTATGTGACATTTTTAACGGTAACTTTCCCTAGATGTAGAGTGCTGAGAGTTTTGATGCAATACGTAACGGTTAACTTATTTGACATAGATTGCTTTATCGTTTTCCGGCAATTCTTCTGCTCATTGTTAACCTTTAAAAATGTATTACTTTACTTTTAAATATTGTGTTTCTTTAATATTTAAGCATCTGCACGATTTATCTTATATATGTTTTTATGCATAACAGACTGAGTTTTAACACTTTATTTTATTCTTGGTTTATTTTTGCAATAAATACTTATTCATGATGCGCGCCGTATCGCCATGAAATTTTGTTTTGAAAGTCGGAATCTAATCTATAGACACTTGGGATGATGTGTGAAAAAACAACTATTAATTCGTGTTAAAATGGTCGTCAAAAACACCGCTCGGGCAAAATGGAACAAGGAAATTTATCGGAATGAGAATACGGATAGAATTAGGCGAAAAAGCACAATATAAGCAGACTTTGATACTCATACAGAAAATAGTTTGTTAGTATGGAATGTAAAAAACGTGGTTTAACTTGGTTATTTTGCCGAATAACTTTCCCTATGTTCCAAGTGTAAACAGTCTCTGAAAATCATTGGTTTGTACAGAGTAAATCCGATATAGTTTCGGAAACATTTTAAAAATAAAGTGCTAGCTTTGTAACCCTATAGACCAAGTCTACACAGGGCAGACAGCAACATCGGAATGAGGCCTGAGAAAGTTAACGTAGGCTGAGAAATACATGGGAACTTGTATCGGCAAAAATAAAATAAAAAAAATTCAGGTCCCGTTACAATCTGATTAAAGCCAGCTCCAAGTATCCACTTGCGTCTATAAACGCAAGTTGATAGTTCGGACTGGCTCTAGTCAGACTGGTTCAGTTACAATTTTTTTCTCTCGAAATTTACAAGCAAACGACTGACTAATTATTTTTCAAACGGCAGAAAGAGACTGAAATAGCTTGATCTTGAAATCATTTAGATTTTATATTCATGTTAATTTACGCTTGCATGGGTATTCGGTGGTAGTGTGGTTTTTTTGGTGTGATTTGAGTTGGAAATAATTTACATTTACAAGTTCGGAGACAAAACGACTGAAAGAGAATAAACATACCGTAGTTGCCTTTTGAGGCCCTGAGGGACATATTGCTCACATACTAGGCGTCAGGAAAAGCCCGAGGAGTTCCACAGTCTTAAAAGGAGTTTTTTAGAACAAGTATAAAAGTATATCTATATACATGTAAAAAAGAAGTGTTTTTATTTCTTTGTGTGGATAAATATACTATATAAATATATGTACATTGTAATATAAAATGTATGTGTACGAGCTTTAGAAACACGATGAAAAGCGAGACTCGCCGACCTTTCCACTTGTTTCGTAGTGAGTACAAATACATTGAATTTTATATTTCTGACAATGTACATAATTTTTATATTTTGTTTTTATTCTACAATTTACACCCCAAGGATGACTAGGAAATAGAAATATGGTCACTTGGTCTTCTTCCGACCTGCAGTCAGAAAATGCTTCCAAAGTGGAGCGTCCATTTGGCTGTGCGGGATGTATCAAGTTTGCACCCACATCCGGTCAGAATGGGGACGTTAAATCCGATGCCTCGTGTAAAGAGAGTTCTACGCTCTTTGAACATTAAGAACCCTTGAAACAACTATTTGAGAGGTCCGTAGGTGGCCTGTTGCGAAACAAAATGTCTGTCCCTATCCAATATACCCTCATTTTCCAGTGTCAGTCCAAATTTTCTCGACCATCATCCCAGATGGCCTCTATTACAAAACCTAGCTACTGTATTTATTGTTAACTTGTTCTCGTCCTAAACATGCATGAACTATTTGCCACTGGACGTTAAGCAACCTACAATCAATCCTACAATTGACACCCGTCACTTATAACTTTAATTGTTAAAATTTAAATCATTGCCCCTAATTTTTTCAAAGCAATCGACCGCTTGCTCATTATGGAAGTGGGGTAACATGAGACTTTATTTGTAAAAGGACAAGTACAAATAAAACAAAAAAATATATGGTACATGTTTTTTGTACAAAAGTTGGCTGTTATAATAATAAATGGAGATATGGGATATGCAATTTATAAGATAGCAACATCTGGACATTTAACGACATCAAAACTAAAGACCTCAAGAAAATTGTGACTAATGCTAATTGGACGAGTATCTTTTTATTTCTAATTTGTAGTTTTAGTAAACGCTGGTCCCCTAAATTGGAAAGTATGTGTAGTATAATTATCACAGTAACATTTCAGTCTCTTAGTACATATTTGTTAAGTCTTAAAACTTTTGTTCTTCTTGAGAAAATTCAAACCATAATGAAATAAGGAGATGCGGTAAGATTGCCAATTAATCAACTTTCCACCAAAGACAAAATGACGGAAATGGTAGCTTGCTTACATTGCTACTTCATTTTAGATCTCCAAATTACCATTCCATTATATGAACTGCATATTCAAAAATATGTTTTGTCACCAAAATTCCAATAGAGCACATATCATCATATTGTTTCACCCGTGTCCGTTCGACCGTCAATCCCGCACTTGACATATATACATAGGGTTTATACCTACGGCTAATTATTTAGGACTACAGTCTTTTTGCTTCAGGTTTAAATTATTTACCTGGTGTTACTACTCATATTAAAGGTACGCATGTCGTCTGGATTTTCTTTATTTTTTGTTCATGACAGGTTGCTGGATTAGGCATTTTGATAACATATAAAAGGAACGCAGTGTACAGACTCCGGCTTACATCTCCTACATGTGGGATTTCAAGCTGGAACTTTTATATTTCGCGGTTTGCTTTACTTATAAAGAATGAATATATGATCTCAAGATTTGTTTTGTAAATAATTTTCCACAAATGACAGACTGTTGAACTTTGTGAAATTTTGCATACAGTTTGCAAGGTTTGTCCGACTTGCTCAACCAACCAACTCACACATTTACACCACGTAGAGTACACTATACTAATGTATGTACCAAGTCAAGAATATGACGGCTGTTTATCATTCTTTCGATGTATTTGAGCTTATGATTTCGTCATTTGATAAGGGACTTTTAAGTTTTGAATTTTTCTTTGAGTTTTGTTATTTTATTTTTTAGAATGTGTATTTTATCAGGATCATTATTTTCCCTCATAATTTTCACAACTAACAGAATGTTTAACCTTTTTTGACTGGTGCATCAAATTTGTCTTTTATAAACAACTGTTTTCCAAATTGTATTGTATCGTCCCGAACATGCATGAACTATTTACCACTGAACGTTAAACAACCATCAAAAACCAAGCAATTATAAAACTGTTAACTGAATCAAATTTTTTAAGTACTCTATTTCTGCATGGATGCAGCGATGACACCACCATTGTCTTAAATGATGGAGTTAAAAACTCAGTAATTCAAATGAACCACACGTGAAATTTTTCATGTTATTTTCACGTGAACTTTACAAAAATTTGGAGGTATTTTTCATGATTTTAATTAAATTTAGAATAAAGATATTATTTGAATAATCTTATTATAAAAATTTACGTGAATTCAACGTGTATCAAATTCCGTTGATTTATGCATGAACTATTATCATAAGATTCACGTGGAACCAACCAGTTCAAGCAAGTTTCAAGTATATGCTCGTTTGGTGTGAAATTCAGACGAGATTAATGTTAATTCATGTGAGTGAAATTTCCATGTGCAGGACGAAATAAATTTATATCAGTAGAATTTCATATTGCATAACTAGGAAATTTACGAAGCCCGACAGGGGAAATGAAAATAAATAAACAACATTCAGATCCTGACACATATTTTGTTTTCCATATCTCTGAGTAGGAATAACGTTATATTCTGTATTCAATAACGTCATACGTTTTCGGTCAAATTCTAGGCATATCGATCAACTTTGAAGCCATTTATCTCAAAAACAAGGATGGTGACATATGAGTTTTTTTATGTGTATGGATTCAGTATGCAATCCTGGATATTATGTTAGATTTTTGTTTTTCTCCGTATATAAGAACATATCCATCCATTGGAAAATCTAAAAAGGAAAGCCGAAAAAAAGCCATTTCTCCTATATACCTATGTAAATTTGTTGCCAAAATTGACGTATTCCTATCAAAATACCAAGAAAACAAAAATGGTGACCCCCATTTTTTATTACATATTCCGATGTAATTCGATTCAAAGAACACGTGTGTGAAAAAGTTTGGAAATCGGGAGATATGCCATTCGGTATCGTGTTACCTTAAGAAACATTTAGTTAAAGTTTGAAGGTAATTGGCCCAGTAGTTTCAGAGAAGAAGATTTTTAAATGTTAGCAAACTTGATGAACAAATTGTGTAAAATTGTCTTTAAAGGGCAATAACTCCTTAAGAGGTCAATTGACAATTATGGCCATTTTACTTTTTTGTAGATCTTACTTTGTGAACATTATTGCTGCTTACAGTTTATATATATCTATAATAATATTAAAAATAATAACAAAAAACTGCAAAATTTTGTTAAAACTACCAATTCGGTGGCAGCAACCCAACAATGGGTTGTTCGATTCGTCTGAAAATTCCAGAGCTGATAGATCTTGACCAATACACCTTATCGCTATTCCCGGCTGACCCGAGAATCTGTCCCGCTTGAACTTTTGACGTCATACAACAATCACTTTTCCATTGTGGCGTCAGATATTTTGTATTGTGACGTCAAAATTTTACGGGAACCTGTGTGATGGCCAGTTATGGCGGACAAATAGCGATAAGGTGTATTGAACAATTTTACCCAATATCAGATTTGCTCTAAAAGCTTTAGTTTTTGAGATATAAGCCAGAAACTGCATTTTACCACTATGTTCTATTTTTAGCCATGGCGGCCATGTTTGTTGATGGATCAAAACTTCGGATACAATTTATAAACTAGATACCCTAAGGAACATTCAGTTAAAGTTTGAAGGTATTTGGCTCAGTAGTTTCAGAGGAGAAGATTTTTGAAATAGTTTACGACGACAGACGACGACGGATGCCAAGTGATGGCATAAGCTCACATGGGGCCCTTCGGGCCCCGGTGAGCTAAAAATAACTTTTTTTATTTCTGTTTACTTGAATTTATTTAACCTAATAGGTTGAATTGTGTTTACAAATAAGGTCACTGCAAAGAGGAGCATGTCTTCCAAGCTCTAAATACCAGGTGACCATGACTTTTGACTTCGATAATATATGGTGTTCACCTTTCACTTAGGATCCTAAGTTTTGTTGCTGGATCAGATTAAAGTGGTAACCTTTATTATCCCCTTACTGTGTTATAGACATATACTGTAGAAACATTAATTTTCGTGGGGTTAAAATTTCGTGGTTTTGTCTCTTTATAAGATTTCATGGGGGTTTAATTTCGTGGTTTCCAGTAAATGGAAGTGATATTATATGTAGATTAAATTTTTGTGGGGGTTTTAATTTCGTGGATATATTCTTTCCACGAAATAAACGAAATTAAATCCTCCACGAAAATTTCTGCTTTAACAGTAATTGAAAGAAAGACGAACAAATCAACAAATTACTGTATCCCTTCCATGTCTTGTTGGGGGACAATAAGATTTGAATGAAAATATGCACGAAGACCCAACAAAACATATTACTAGAATATACCTTATTACAAGTTTGAAAAATTAAATCAAATGAATCTCCAAATTTTTGTACATAATATAAACCAAAATGTATAATTTATTAAAATTGTGTTGTTTTGTTGACAATAACATTTACTATAAATATTGTTTTCTTAATCTATTAAAAATAGATATGGACTTTTGAAAGAAAAAGAAAATTGAATGAAAGAAAATTTTCATGCATACTGTTCAGAAAACTTCAGACATAGAGAGTAAGTTACTTGCTGTCTTTGACCTCAACATCCCTGTGTATTGTACAACGTACCCAATCTTCTGTGATCACTTGATCAATGTGGGATCTTGGTGCATAATTTGAAGAGACTAAGGTGTTAGTCTCACTTAAATAATTCAGTCAAATTACGTAACTATTACTTATTTCTTCAAGTGATTGTGATGCCACATTATTTCATTTTGAGTATGCTTTTTTTTGTCTCAGTGATTTCGAATGCATTTTAATGGTCAATAAGCATCTGTAAAACTGAACAATATTTGGTCAATGTCAGAAATATATCAACTTATTTGTATTCAGCACAAACTGTTGTTCCCCAGTTTCTAAGCCTCATACAAAACAGTTTGATATTTTTCTGACATTGACCTTATATTGTTTATATCTTAGCTAACCTGACATTGATATATAGTTGATATCATGTCCTGCCTTATTTGCAAGTGGTCCTTTCTGTCCAAATCCATTGATTTTAGCATACACCAATCTAGGGTTGTCAGCTAACAGTCTATCTGCACCTAGTCCTAACCTTTCCATTACTCCTACAATTAAGAATATATAATTTTTACCTGTTTATTTATTGATATTCTACATTTTTACATGGGTATTAAATATTCTTCTGTATTTCTCAATATTACATTTAAAGGTAAAAATGTTGGAAAATCTGCAGAAAAAAATTGTTATAATGTACCTTGAATTATTGAAGCAGTTAATTACATTTGTACCTACATCTAAATTTTAGAAGCCCTATTTAATTTGCCATATATAAAAATTGTACAAATATAATTGTATTTAACTCCCTTCCCAAATTTGACAGATAATTTGGAATGTTCTGACTTGGTCCTTCTTGGTTTTTATGCTCTGAATATTTTTAGTTTTGGTTTGTCAAACTTTTTACATTCAGCCTACTATGGATTCATTTATTTTCGTGGGTACCAATTTTCGTGGATTGAGGAAAACTTGCATTTTCATGGATATTCAATTTCGTGGTTTTGGCAGAGTCTACATATATTCCTTTAGAAAATTTGTAATTCGTTGAAATTTAAATTCGTGGTTTCCTTGTTCCCACTAAATCCACACAAATTAGTATCCAACAAATATTAATGAATCCACAGTACCTAAGCAGAAACATGTGCCATTTGCATGTAATTTGTATCATACATCTATACAATACTCACAAATTTAATGTTTTTTCTGCAGACCTGGCCTTTCGGTCATAAAACTTGACTCAGTAGTCGAAATACAAAATTTGTGCTCAAAATGCCAAATCAAGTATTTTGATTGTTTGAGTCTGAGGTCTATAATTGTACTCATAAGTTTTATGACAGCAAGGGCTTTTGTTTTGGATATTTTGTACATGTTTTGAGTTATATCTAAAAATATGAAACTGAATGTCTCTTTAATTTTGCTGCTTAAGGTAGATGGGGGGTCTAAATTAAAATCCATAGAATTTTTTAATATTTTGTCAAAATGTAGTTTATATCATGCTTTTTTCAAAGATATAATAAAAAGTATGGGTCACTGGGCTTTTTTTTCACGCTACAGGTTGTGCAAAATTGTGTGATAAAAAGAAAACTACACAAAAGACTTTTAAGATAAAATATGAGAAGATAGCTCTAATAATATGTTTTCAGATAAGAAAAAGAAAAAAAGGGGGAACCGGACTAGTTTTCTTTCTACATAATAAAAAAGGCAAATTCACAATACATTCTATTATAAAAATCACTATCTGAGTTATTTCCCCTTATGTGGCAAAGTTGAAAAAAATGAATCAAACAAAAATATTCTGTTTTTTGGTAAAATACAGCCGTAAATATGATAAAACACATAATTTTCTATGTTAATATGAAAAGTCTCAATTTAATTTTCCATAACATGTTCCAATATATCAGTCATCTCATTTAACCTGTAAAAACCTTATTTAATCCAATTTTAATCACAATTTTCTTTGGTTGCTATGGAAATAATTCTGTTGCTATGAGGAAAAAATTGGACAATAAAGAAAATGAAGTTTCCATTCAGATTATTCATAGTCAGTCAATTATCTCATTATTTGCTTAGAAATAAATTTGATATTACAAGATTTAACCCAAAATTTAACCATAAATCCATTACCATGGCAACAATATTAAAAACATATTTTTTTTGTAAATTTTGAAGATCTGACTTGGATGTATAACTGACAAAAATTTCAAATGTCTAACTGGTCTATGTAAGGTACAGTCAATATTTCATTAAAGTAAGCATATTTTCAGCTTTTTATTGAAAAATCCTATGCCAATCAAGTATGTAAAAAAAATATTTCCATGGAGGAAAGGGTTAAAGATGTTCAGTGTTTGACTAAAGCCAGCCCCATTATCCACTTGCATTTGTCAAACACCAGTGAATAGTGAGAGCTGGTTTTAGTCAGGCTGAAGGACGTTAAAACCAAAGAAAATTATTATTAAAATTCTTTAGATCGGAAATAATCATCAAAACAAATGTTCGGAAGTTTAATTTTAGATTTCCAGCTTCTATTTTGCATTCAATTCATCAACAAATCCTAATCTCACCGGGTCTAAAGGGTTCAATGAGAACATCTGCTTTGGAGCACATCTTATGTACAATGTTTAATCCTTCTTCTTGTTTTAAATCAATGGCAATTGACTTTTTTCCTCTCCCCATACAATCTGTATCAGCAAAGGATTTTGTCTGAAAATATATAGCAAAACTTAAAGGTTAAATCAAGGATTAGTAGTGTATTCTATGATAACAATCTTTGTTTACAAAAAAAAACATGTGACTATATAATTCATTATCATTGGTTGCTGCTTGAAAATAAAATGATGTCAGGTAAACTTAATGTGAAGATTAATTCTAAACCAGATGTGTTATAGTGTGCTGCTATTTATACATGTATAATAAATAAAAAAAAAATTGTGACAAAGATCAGAGACACAGCTATCAAACAACATCAGATTACCAATTAAAGCAAAATAATTACTTTAAATTCAAAAATTTGGATTCAATTTACAGAAAGAAAAACAACCGCCAAAACAATTTCTAAATTTATGGTATATCCATAAGTGATCTTAGATATTATATTATCATTTAATATGTAATCTGCCCATCTTTATTTACTTTTGTGTTATATCATACTTTTCTTGTCTTGTAAAATTTTAAACAAAGTATGAAGCAATCTACTTTGTCTAGCGTATAATAAATAGTACATTTCATCAACTATGACATTTTCAGCCAGTACCAAGTCAGGCTACCTGAAATATATGTTGTTCTTTGTGACTTGTCTGCTTTTATGTCTTTTTTTCCATAGAATTTGGGTGTTGGTGTGGTCTAGCTGCATGTTGTACACTCCAGTAATTAGAAGAATTCCTGTCATTCCAATTTGAGGTATCATGACATGAGTAACAAAACTGGTACCCCTAGCGGAGTGATTAGAAAAATTATTGGGTTCATGTTGCTTAATCTGTAGTTTTCTGTGTAGTATTTTGTGTACTGTATGCATTTTCTGTGTAGTATTTTGTGTACTGTATTTGTCTTTTCTGTATAGTATTTTGTGTATTGTACTTGTCTCTTCTGTGTATTTATATTTTGTGTATTGTTTTTGTCTTTTCTGTGTAGTATTTTGTGTATTGTATTAATTTTTGTCTTTTCTGTGCAGAATGCTGTGTTTTGTTTTTGTCTTTTCTGTGTAGTATTTTGTGCACTGTATTTGTCTTTTCTGTGCAGTATTTTGTGTACTGTTTTTGTCTTTTCTGTGTAGTATTTTGTGTATTGTTTTTGTCTTTTCTGTGTAGTATTTTTTGTATTGTATTTGTCTTTTCTGTGTAGTATTTTGTGTACTGTATTTATCTTTTCTACTTTTTTTCACCCAAAAATATAGGTATTTTTCAACTTATGGTTTAGATTGCCTTTTTGGTATTTTACACTTTTTAAACCTAAGAATTTCTACAATCCATGTATGAGTTCCTAATTTCTTCAATACTACTACAATCAACTGTTTGATTATATATATATATTGAACAAATCTAAAGAGATAGAATATCCTTCTTCTGTGTTTATCTCAAAACTAATAAACTGCTTCGCCGAGCGCAGCTGGATACGACCGCTGGGGTCCAACCCTGAATAGTTGGGGCAAAAATGGACACAATATTCAAGCTTAATACAGGTCTGAATTTGGATTGTAATTAAATATTTGACACATTATAGGTTTCTGACACAGAATAAATGTAGTCCAAGAACTTGAAATTGGTTATATGATTTGAATTTATATTCAATTGAAGATTTCTTGCTGTTGTGCAATACACTGTGCTGTTGTGCAATACTTAGTAAATCTGTTTTCAAACTATATACAAAGAATTAGCAAAATAAATTGTGAACCCAAATTTCTTTTTGGAAAATTGACAATTTCTTAAATTTTGAAGACAATTTCTTTTTGTAAAATGAGGTACAATTTAAGAGACATCCATACACTTAAACACAAGTTATTGTCTGAAAACTAGAAAAATGCTTGTTTTAGACCCTTTTTGGCCCCCAATTCCTGAACAGTTTGGGCAATTACCCCAAAAATGAAACCCAACCTTCTACTTGTGGTATTGAACCTTGTGGTACAATTTCAGAGCAATCAAAATACTTATACACAAGTTATTGTCCTAAAACTAGAAAAATGCTTGTTTTTGGCCCTTTTTGGCCCCTAATTCCTAAACGGTTGGGACCATCACCCCCAAAAACAATCCCAACCTTCCTATTGTGGTATTGAACCTTATGGTCAAATTTCATAGAGATCCATAAACTTAAACTAAAGTTATTGTTCGGAAACCAAATGTCTTCAGCGACAACGCTCTACGACGTGATAGCAATATACGACCCCAAAATTTTTTTTGCAGTCGTATAAAAATCTGTTGATTAAATGTTGTATTTTGGCAATAATACTTACTCTGTCCACTCTAATCACATTAGCGCCAAAATCAGAAAGAATCATTCCACAGAATGGCACTGGAGCCAATCCCCCAAACTCTATCACTCGAATACCTTTTAATGCCATCTGTAAAAAAAATGTTTTTTTTATATCTTCAATTTGATTATAGAAAAATATATGTACATTAATCAATTCATAATGTATAACTGTGCAAGACTCTTTTAAAAGGAATGGACTTTTAAATCTAGAATACATTTGTAGGTAGTGTGAACAACTGTCATATTTATTTTTCAACTGATTGATTGTGTGGTGTTTAACACCACTTTCAGCACTGTTGGCTATTTCGTGGCGGTCAGTTTTTATTGATTAAGGAAGCCAGAGTGCCTGGAGATATTTTCCAACTAAGTGGCTAGATAATTTTTATAAAAGTCTACAGAGCAGCCATGGCAGGAATAATTGTCTAGTTTAAGGTTCCACATCTTCCTAAATTTTGGTAGTCTGTGTAAATATTAGTACCAAACACCTTGACTAAAATTAATTTAGCTCATTTAATTTTCACAAAATTTTGACAAAATATTTATTGACCCTTTGTCAAAAATATAAAAATTTCAAAAAACTTGAACCACACTCTTTATCAGAAAATTTCATTGGATATATAGCAGTTTGACAAACACTAATTTTGATCATTGAGAAGCTAATATTTCCTTAACAATAAAAACGTGATTAAAACTTTCAGCTGATTTTTATAGATTTATCTCCCTGTAGTGTTATGAACCACCTTAAGTGCACATCATTTGTTTGATTTGTAGTTTCTGGAAAATTACCAAATAGGTGTCAACAATGTTAATGGTAATTCACAATTTCTCAGCTTGGCCTATCACTATTTTTAATTTTTCTTGAATTGGACTTTCAAGGTATTTATTTATTTGTCATTTGCATTGAAATATTTAACAATATGACTTACCTTTAGTCCAAATAATTATAACGTCTAGAAAGGCTATTTTAAATTTTTTGCTGAGATGGCTATTTTATTAAAATAAACTTTCAAGACGTCATAATTATACTTCCATTTTTTGCTGTGACCCCTTCCTACGAAGGCGTTACAGCAAATAAACTGTTGACACAGAGATATGTCTCGCCTGTCAGCATCAAATTCAGAACAAGACAATCTGATAAACAGCAATATTGCTTATTAATTCAAAGTCACTGGACCATGATCAAGTGGGCAAGGCCTGAAAATGGTCGACAAACTGAGATGTCGAACAGTAATGTTACTTTATAGAAAATATTGTTGTCTATTGTAAATAGTTCCTATCAATCTAACTAAAGCAGAGAACTTGACACAGAAAATTGCTAATTAATTCAAACTCACTGGACCATGTCCTAGGGCCCCAGGCTAGAGGGCAGGGCTCAAAATAGTAGTCAAACTGATATGTACTGATAGTAATGCAACTTTATACAAAATATCATTGATCTATCACAAGTAGTTCTTATCAAACTGACTTGAGCAGAAAACGTAACAATGAAAATTGCTAATTAATTGAAAGTCACTGGACCTAAGGAGCAGGGCCTCAAAACAGTCTTCAAACATATTAAATATCAATGATCTATCAGGTATCGGGTCCGTTCGGCCCACATACAATTGTTTGCCCCATTTACATGTTCGCCCTGGATTCGTTCGCCCATAGTCTATTTGCCCTAGGTTCATTCGCCCTCCTTTTATAAAAACATGATAAATATCAATGGTATTATTAGGTTTTATAAACTTATTGAGATATTTATAAGGTAAATATTAAAGGAAATACATATTTCTGAAAAATCATGAAAAAAAAAACCCATAGAAATATTTAAAAATTAATGGCTTGTTTTGGAGCATTATTGGCTTCATTGTAACAATTATATTCTTATTTAGAATTACTTTTAATGACTGTTGATTGTAATTTAGATTGACGATTAGGTAAAGTTATGATTGATTGTTGGTTGCTTAACGTCCAGTTAATTAAAAACGTTCTTTTTTTTTTAAATTAACTAGTCAGCTTAGAATGAGTGAAAACAATGATGTACAATGTAAGACATGAAAGGGAAATTTAGTTTTCACAGCTTAAATGGCCTCTTTGATCTCAAAATTGTTTTATTTAGTAGATCATGGTGTAGAAATGTAGAGTGAATGGCTGTGTGATTGTGTCCTTTTAGTATTTATTTTTATATAGAATCTTTCAATTCAGTGCTCTTCAAAATAATAGTGATAAGACATAACTGGTGTGTGATGCGAATGAATTAAGTTAGAGTTGGATCTTGTTATTACTGTTAATGGTTGTTTTCAAATTGTTCAAAAGTATAAAAAAAAATCATAAAGATAACTTGATTTTCAGTTGTTTTAATACATTCAATATCTTGAATCCCTGTACACTTCAGTACAAATCAAAGAAAACTAATTATCAGGTTAAGCAGCATTACAACATAAATATTCGGCGAAATTTTCAACAAACTTTAACATATACTTTAACCCTTACCATGCTGTGCCCGTCATATGACGGGATTACCCAAACCACCGTTATTTGGCTCCAATGGCTCTCCATACTTTTAGAGGTCAACTTTATGATACTTATTTCGAAAGTGATGCATGTTCCCTCACCCTGAGGCTATCTATTGTCATGTTTCTCGTGTTTAAGTTGCATTTTGAGCTCAAATACGAACTTGGAAAATTGAAATAGGATAAAACTGGTTTTTTTTGGAGGGGTGGGCTTCCCTTCGGTGTCTTACACAGGAAGTTCAGAGGCCTAAAACTTTCAAAAATAGTGTAAACCCGCAGGCATATGTCTAATGATCATAATTATTATTGAAATACGTATAGGAAACAACTACTTCCAGTTTCAGGTCCAGTTGAAGTAAAAAATCAGAAAAAAATCGTGAAATTCCGTATTTTTGGTCCAAATGACTTTCTTTAGACTGGTGTTCCTAGATCAGTTTCACTCCAACCTAAGAACTGTTGGGGTTAATGTTTTTACTGGGGTCCACTGTACATGCAGACTACAGCTGGATACCTATATCAGCATCCCTCGGTCTTTGGGGTCAAGAAATAGGACGAAAAATCGTCAAAATTGACGCTTTTTGCACCTGATGAACAACTTTGGGGCAATTTCCCGGCCACCCACCCCCGCCCCGTGATCCCTACCTTAGATTTAAAGGAATCAATATGCTTCAGCGGCAGGGTAAAGCTCATTTGCATATAATTTGCATATTTTTGCAAATAAACGAAAATTAGACATTTTCTGAAAACAATTCAGCATGGTAAGTGTTAATCTTTATTCAAATATTTTATTAACAACAAGACAACAAATTAAAGCAAAAAACAGGGCGAACAGTTATCAAGGCGAACAGGTATTTGGGCGAACAGGTACTAGGGCGAACTGAACTGGATTTGATCTGTCACCAGTAATTCCTATCAAACTAACTCAAGCTGAAAATTTAACAATTTTTTATGCCAACATCGTTATCGTTGGAAAAGCAATCCCTTTGTCTAGCTTTCCGTGACTTTCGTCACAGGTGTGACAAAAAATAAAAAAGCCTTTCAATTCGTCACAATTATTTGGACTAGACTTACTGGTACATTTCTCATTTGCATGATTTGGTACAGTTATCCCGAGGAGGTTTTTAGTATTTTGTACTTGTCTCTTTGCAGTGCAGTAGCAGCAAGATTATTTATCTGATGGCAAGACAAACAATATAAAAATGTTACAAATTTTGTATCAAGTCATTCGTAATCATAAAAAATCTGATGGATAACTGGATATCATAAGAAGAAACATAGTGAAAAGTTGGCGAGCGGGATTTGGGCCGAAACGACTCTGGGTGCGAACTAGTGACCTAGTCTACTTATAACTTTTCTTGTATCTTTCTTTTCTGTAACCTTTGTTACTCCAAATTTTGTGTGTGCATATGTGTAACATTTTTTCTTTGGTATTTTTTTATATATGTTTTACCTCTGCTACTCGCGAGCTTCAAATATTGTGCAGAAAAAAGACCCTTCTCTGTGAAAACGTCTTTAACTTTGGACTTTGTTCATACCAAATACAATATAAAAAATCGTTATGGTGTTGAAGATTATTTCCGGAAAATATTGTAGCCCGAGACCGCAGTGCGTAGCTAATTCATTAAACATTAATATTATTAAATAAACACAAACCTGCGTTTGTAAAGTGTAGTGTACTTCTTTTTGGGAAAAAAAATATCAAATTTATGGAAAAATCTATGTTAAATCATCAGCTCAGCTAACAGTAACAGTCAAAATGTGCCCATTTTCTGAAGACAGTCCCTAAATGTTAACCTTTTCTATTTGAACAAATCACTGCTTTTCTTAAAAACAATGAAAATCACATTTGTCAGAAAGGTTGCAAATAGTTGTATAATTCTATAGTGATATTAAGTGTATTGTAGAATCGAATACAAGATGTCATTCTAACTAACTAACTAACTAACTAACTGACTGACTAACTGACTGACTAACTAACTAACTAACTAACTAACTAACTAACTAACTAACTAACTAACCGACTACCTAACGAACTAACCAACCAACCAACCAACTAACTAACTAACGAACCAATCAACCAACCAACTAACTAACTAATTGACAAACTAACGAACTAACAAACTAACAAACTAACAAACAAACTAGCTAACTAACTGACTAACACTTTTTCCTATCGTCTTGATAAAGAACCTTGCATTCACATCATATAAATGAAACTCATTTTCAATTTTGTTATCAATAAAATGTTTAAATATTCTTTGTCCCAAAGGATTATTATTTTATCTACCTTTTTCGATGTGTAAATTATGGTTAGAAATTCTTAATTTACAGAACTGTCTGCTATATTGTTTCGAGGTATTCAACTTTGTATAAGTCTCAGGTTTATATTCCCTTTTTATCTTGTAATATGTACGTAATTTGTTTTGATCGTGAGAAGAAATACCTTTCATATCTTTCTTGTAATCTATTTTTCACGGCAGAAGTGAGTTTGCCTTCTGACAGTGTTCCTTTATTTTTCCAGACATGGTCAAAATCAATGAATTTTAGAAACTGAAAAATGTGTTTGTTAAAGGTACATGGAAAGGTACGGTCAACTTTTTCGATTGACTTATATGTTAATTCTGAAAAATTCAAAAGAGGGTCTGTATGCAAATTATAGTTAGTATTTAAGAGACTGCAAAATAATAATTTCCATTTTGTACAATAAAGTTCCAATGAGGATAATCAGATTTGCAGCCCTTCTTTGGTTTGTGACATTTATATTATGTCGTCTGCATACATCAAACAATTTAAAGCTGTGTTCCCTATATCTACTGGATCACATTTCTCATCAAGGTATCATGGAAAGTCATTCATAAATAAATTGAAAAGAAGGGAACTCAGTATACACCCTTGTTTTACACCAACATTTGAGAGTATGGAATCAGTTAGTTCAGAATCTAGTTTAACTGAATATCTAACCGTGACATATATATATATCTTTGATTAAATGAAAAATCTTGCCACTAATACCTTGCTCAAACAGTTTAGAAAAGAGAAACTTCCTCCGTACTGTATCAAAGGCCTTTCAAAATTCAACAAAACAACAATATAAATATTTTTTTACCCTAAACATCTTATCCACAATAGATAGCTTTTCTAAAGCCTATTTGATTTTTACATAGTATGATGTTGTTCTCAGTTACAAATAAATCTTAAATCTAAACAACTTACTTAGACAACTAGAGATTGCTATACTTCTGTAGTTACTTGGATCTCTGTCCAACAACTAGGAAATAAAGTTGATATCAAAATAATATTGAAAAGTTTGCAAATATAATTCAACATATTCACACTAGAATGTTTAAGCATCTCATCACTTACATGTATACTGTCAAAACCTAAACTTGTGTTATTCTTTAAACTTTTTATAGCTTTAACCACTTCCTTCATTGTTATATCATAATCAAGTAAAACATTATTCCTAGTAAAATCCCAACTTAAAGGAAAATCATCCTGTTCATGGGTACAATCTACATTTAAAAGTTTATCAAAATAATTATACCATTCATCAGAGGGAATATTAGAACTCTGATGACTGATGTCCTTGTCAGAATATTTAAATTTATTAATAATATCCCAATAAGCCTTGGGATATTTGTTTTCCAATTCCATTAGGGAGTCAAGCATCTTTGCTTTAAACTGTCGTGTTTTTGTTTTTTTTTTGTACTATTTTTTTTAACTGCTTTTTTAGTCTATAGTAATTCTTCAATTTTTCTTCATTTACAGAACAATTAGAGTGTGAACGAGAAGACTGATTGAAGTACGATCGATACATCATAGATATAATAGCCATTATATCTATGGATACATTGACTCGCATTCACTGTCGAACCCTAAACAAGATTTCTTTTGTTAACTTTTCTAGCTTTAAACGTGTTCCCCTTGGGAAGATTTAAATGACTTCTTATCTTATTGAGAATGTTATGAAAAATATCTGTTAAATCATCAGTGGCTTCATCAACCCCATTTCTTTGTAGTACCCTGTCTTAACCTGAGAATAGAGACATTTCCTGGTCACAGTTTTAGGGCAAAATGGCAAACAGATCAATTGAAGAAACTCGTTGAAAACTTGCCTGAAAATGAATGCGTTACAGTGCATGATTTTTCCGAAAATTACAGATGCACGGAGAGAGTTGAAATACAATCTAGCTACTTTCAGCGAACGGAAGTATCTATTCACGTTACTTTAATTTACCGTCACGCAGTTTTAGAGGTCGATGGCGTATCGAGCACACCAGATGACCTAGCTATAATCTGTGAACATTTTTATGTCATATCACCAGATGAGAAACACGACCAGTATTTTACTCGTCATGTTCAAAATCTTGTATCTGAATATTTAAACGAAATAAATTATCGTGTTGATACGATGCACGAATTTTGTGACGGTTGTCAAAGTCAATATAAAAGTCGACATTGCATCTGTACCCTAGCAGAATCTGCAGCCGAATTTGGATATAAAAAAATAATTAGGAACTATTTTGAAAGTTGTCATGGAAAGGGGCCACAGGATGCCGCTGGTGGACTTTTGAAAAATCAAGCAGATATTGCCGTTATACGCGGACAATTTCAGATACGTTCGGCTGTAGAACTGTTTCAATTAGCGCAGTCACGATTAACAACACCACGGTCATATGCTTGCAAACGACGAATTTTTAAATATGTAGGAGAAATTCCTAGAAATAGAAAATCGTTTAAACCAATACCAGGCTGAAGCTCCAATAAAGGGGATACGGACCATACATCGCGTAGAAACAAAAAAATCTACAAACGGTACTAGTTCGAACCGTGTCGTGCTATTGCGACGGGTGCCTTGAGGGTGAACATTGTTTGTTTAATGATCAAGTTGGCATTTCATTGGAAGTCAAAGTAGAGGCAGAGGATTCCAATTCAGAGGACGACACATTAGAAGATGACAGTTATGAGACAGTCGCTGATATGATAAATACCGGTCAAATTTTTGCAGTTTTATGTGATGATGAGTAAAATGATTTCTTCCTCCTCAAAGCTTCATCGGGGAGTCATATGTTAACATGAGAAGAAACTGATGAGTGGGGGTCGACTTTCCCTGAAGGAACATCCGTAATTAATGGACATTATTTCATGAAGAAAAAACATCACGTTTTACAGTACAGTCTTTTGAAAAATCAAAAAGCAATTGTCCCAAGCGCTTCGGTGTTGTATGTATGCCAAGACAGTATTTTGAACAGAAATACGCTCGTTTTAACCGAAGAAGAGAATAATAATATTTTGGAATGTGTTAATTTATGTGAACTGATTCATTGATTGTCATTTGAAATTCATATTGTGTCACGGCTTCATAATGTGTCACGGCACAGGATGAGAGCACTACATAGAACTTTCCCAAAATTGATTCAATATTGTCCAAAGCAATAATATCTATTACATTGAAGAATTTTTTTATTATTATTTTATTTCTCAAATTGATATTAAAAGAAGTGATTTAGAAATGTATGACGCGTAATTTATCTTTTTTCTCGCGTGATGATGAGTATTCTGTTTGTGATATTTTAGAGAAATGCAAAATTAAGAAATTTTACTCGGGAGAAAATCACATGACACTAAAGTACATCTTTACTTATCACTAAAATTGTATTCTAAGGAACAGCAAATCATTTCGTTGAGAAATAAAAAATGCACCAAATAAAAAATATAAATAAGATACCATCAACGACAAAAACAGGTAAATAAGAGAAAAAATTACAGCAAAACAAATACAGAACAAAGCAAAACATAAAATATAAAATTGAGAATGGAAATGGGGAATGCGTCAAAGAGACAACAACCCGACCAAATTAAAGAGCAGACAACAGCCGAAGGCCACCAATGCAGCGAGAAATTCCTGCACCCGGAGGCGAGCCTTTTACAACCATCCCATTCCCCAAAAAATCAAACTTGACAATCAAATATTGTCATCATAGAATTTTGACAGACATTAAAATCTTACAATCATTGAAAATACGCAAAAGTTGATTTGTTGAAGGTTGACCAAAAAAAAATTATACCGGGCCTCCCTACAGCCAAATTTAAAGTTAAAAACAAAAAGAACAAGTATCAAAAAAAATCAAAAAATTGTAAGGCGTTTCTCCTCTTCATTACGATTTTCATAAAAAAAAAATGTTTTTTCAACCGGTAAACATTAAAACAAATTGTGCATGAATGCATACGCGTGGACTTGAATGTAGCGTATATCCCACATTTCCGTTCTTTCACAGAACACCATACGTATTCCTTATATTTCCATTTGTCTAGATGCCACCTGGCATACACCCATATCTACTTTTATTAACAGAAAACCAAGTGTTTAACGAATATACTGGACGTCAATATTACAAAACGTCAATATAAAATGATTTTGACGTTAACATACGACGTTACTAATTTTTTAGTGACACCAACATCGAGCGTAACGTCTTTACATAAGATTCAACTTCCTTTGATAACATCATGTTTGCATAACATTTTTGATCCGCATTGTTCCATTGTAGACCATTAGGTATAATTGGTCTCCCAACTTTTTGTTGTACTTGGGAATAACTTAATGATAAACATACATCTATAGGACATTGATCAGAGTGGACTTAAAAATCCTTTACAATAAAAAAAACATACATTTTTTAGCATATTATTACTAGCAATACAATAATCAACAACAGCACTACCATTATATCCATCTAAGGGTTCCACAGGGTAGCATACTTAGACCTATGCTCTTTCTTTCATATCGTATCAATGATGTACCCTTATATTTAAAACACAGTTATTCAGGTGTATATGCAGATGACAATACTGTCCATTGTCATCACCTGGTGTGTACTGTAAAAACTAGATTAAATTAGATATGATTAATGTGCATACCACATCTTCTTATTTTTATATTAAGTGGTGTATAGATAACGGTCGATATGGTATCTAATAAATACTGAAATATCTGAATCTATGTTGATGGCTTCCCGTCTTAAATTACAAAACCATCATGTACTAAATCTTGATATATTATATCAGGATTAAAAATTAGATGAAGTCATGTCTTAGGGAGCTACCATTTAATTTTATGGGGGGGGGGGGGGGCTAGGATGAAATTTGAAAAAAAATAGGCAGGACAGGAGTTTTGGGTAAAAAAAAAAGGCAGGATGAGATTATTTGCCAAAAAAAAAGGCAGGATGACAATTTATATAAAAAATAAAGTCAGGATAAACTAAAAAAAAAGGCAGGACCGAAACGGAATAGAGTGAAAAATAAAAAGGCAAGACCGAATAGAGGGAAAAATAAATAGGCAGGACAAAATTTTTCATCCTAGCCCCCCCCCCCCCCCCCATAAAAATCAAATGGTAGCTCCCTTAGAGGCTATTCGGTGAAATAAATATTGATAACCCTCTGTCATAGTCTCAGCAAATTTCTATGGTTTCAAAAGTTCCATCTGGACTGCTTTGAATATGTCGATTATGAAAGTATTGCATATATGAGGGTCTTTTACTACATCGTAATGGTTATATTTTGGATACTTTTTTTATTATTGTAATTACAATATGGAGAGAAACACCCATTTTAAATTTTGAAAAAATATACAAACTGCAAATAAAGAGCTGCAGTGATAATTCTTAATGCAAACCATGATGTTTTATCTCTTCGACTACTTAAACAAATGGTTGGTTCCAGAAAGATAAAAAAAATGGATTTTGATAGGCATATATAGGACTATAAGTAACAATTTGACCAAAGCATTGTAAAATAAGTAATTGATGTGCAGTCATTCTAGAGGATGAAAGTGCATGAGCAGCAATTACCAAGGGAAGATACTAAAAAGGTCGGCGACCATTCAATGACATCCAGATAAACTATTACTAGTATGTATGAAATTTTACAAATAGGATTAATGACCCCTCATGTCTACAGTACAGTGACGAGAAGTAAGTGACACAAGTTGCCGATAAGACAGATCAGGTGCCTGGGCAGTTAACCTAGGTGTTTCAAATTGATTTCCCGTGCTATCCATTTTATTTATATATCTCAAAAGAACAATTGACCCCAATGGTAGATACTTAAAGGTCAAGGTTGGATTATCTTGACAAGAAATACATAAAATTATATATACATGTAATAAGTTACACTTATAGCCTAGGGGAAAAATCATTTCATGTCCACTAAACTCATCATCGACACCAGGCTTAACATTTTGTACTCCAAACGCGCGTTTTGTCTTCAAAAGACTCATCAGTTACGCTCGAATAAAAAAATAAAAAAGGTCAAATAAAGTACAAAGTTGAAGAGCACTGAGGACCCCAAATTCCGAAAGGTTTTGCCAAATACAGCTCAAGCCAATTTTCATATATATATTCGTATATAAAACGCAAAGGCAATGAAATTATTCCTGTAAATTGTGGCAAGGATGTATAACTAATATGCGTCCTTGATTGTGGGGTTCAAATTTCTTGAAGTTTTTATATTTTTGTCAACATGTCAAAGTAAATATTTTGTCAAAATTTTATGAAAACTAATCGAGCCAACTTCAATAAGATATGGTTCACGATATACCATGCTTCAAATAACATAAAGGAATATCATGAAATTACAAAAGGGGAAATATTTTTCTTTTGTTAAAAATGTATCCATTGTTTAAGGTCCTCATTTTCTACTGTTAACAATTTTGGATAATTATCTTTTTTTTCAGATTATCATAGCAAATACATGTATATGGCAAGAGCTTTAGGGAAAACTATTTACACCATAACTTTAAAGCCTGTTCCTGGGGATATCTGTTGACATTAGGAAGTGGACATTACAAAATGCCTACAAGTTTGACTGTCCATCGTTTTTCCCATACTATTGGTTTTTAAATCTAAAATGTACTAAACTTTGATTTTACGCTCCATATTTAACTTGAAGGATCTATGTTTGTGCTTTATATATGGCAAAATTTAAGAGAGAGAATTCGGTCATTGGTAAGATAATTATTGTTATAAATTAGAAACTTAGGAAATCTTAAATCTCTTTTAACTATTGCCTTTTCAGCATGAAACAATAATTGTTTTAAAACACTTAAAATGGGGTGGTTTATATTCTTTAATCTGTAAATAATTTTCATTGAGGGAAATTGAATCATCTTAAAAATATTTATTTTATTTACCATTACAAGCACAGGGGCTCGTATCATAGATGTTTTAGCAAAGCTATAAACACAACGTAGAACGCATTCCAGTTGAGTGAATATATTTCCGCCCCAAAAATATCCATGATTCGAGCCCCTGTGTTACAAATGGTCTTATCATAGTCCTGGCGCGGAATTCAGACGGGGCAACCCGGTGAGCCCCACTAACAAAGAAAAAAAATGTATAGGTAAAATAACAGTCAATTGGTTGTCAAAATACTGTCCTCTAACTCCTAATTCTCAGGAGGCCTCCTATAACATCAAATCCTGGATCCGCGCCTGTTATTTGAAACAGTATTAAAGTTAAAATCCTGAGAATCAAAATTTGTTGTTAAAATATTCAAATGATACATAAAAAGGGATGACAGGAATAGCCAAAAACAGCCTAATAAAACCATCTATACGTAGGTGTTTTGAAGCCCTTTTGATCTAAGTGTATATAGACTTATGATATCGGGAAGTAAGCATGCTAAAATTAAACATATGAAAGAGAACAACAGTCAAAATGAATCTTATCAAGTTCAAGGTATAGATTTTTCACGTAAGTTCGTCTTATTTATTGCAAAACAAAATGAAAATTATAACAATAAATAAAACCGTTACTAATTACACGGAAAAAAAAACGTCACATTAAGTGGTATGAATATGATGAAACTACAATTATGCATTCTATATTTGGGCCAAATAAAAACCTGGTAGTTATAGTTAGATAACCGTTATCTATATTTGACATCTAAGAGTTGGCCTTATCGATAAACGACGACAAATGGATGATCGAAAATTAACTTTTGATAGCCAGATAGGTATATATTTATTGGAATTTGTTCTTCATTATTTGATAAGCTAGTCTTTCACTTTAGTTTGCTAGCCTTTCAGACTAATTTGCTAACCTTTCATTTTAGTTTGCTAGCTTTTCAGACTACTTTGCTAACCTTTCATTTTAGTTTGCTAGCCTTTCAGACTAATTTTCTAGCCTTCCACTCTTCGTCATTAAATGTTCTAAGAAAAGCTGTTTTAAATATTCCAATTAAATTCAGAGCATACATCTGCATATATATCTTTATTTCTCAATAAACCAAATTACATTGGCATATAGATACACACAATGAATATTACATAACGTATAAGTACAGGCATATAAAATTCATACGAAAGCAAGACCGAGGCAAATATCATAAATTACAGTATGCAGATTAAACTAAATGGTTTCAAGTACATTAAATTCCCAGGAGAGCCTAATCAGCCTACATGCATATATTGATTAGTCTTATAAATTTACACAATTTGTTAAAATCAGAAAGTTTTTTTGCTATTCATCAGTTCATTTAATTTTAATGAATTTCCCAGATTTGTGTAATTTTTTCTCAGTAACTGTTTACGATCATCATTAAATACAGAACATGTAAAAATAAAATGAAGTTCATCTCCGATCTCTCCAGAGTTGCAAAGTAAGCATTTTCACTTTTCTCTTATTGGGTATTCCACACAAATGACAAACCACATTCATCAAGAATGGATTTAATATTTTTTAACCAAGTTATATCATTTTTATATTTATACAATGAGTACCTATATAGAATTGCAGGAAGTTTTTCTTGTTTTCCAGACAGTAATGTTGTCCAGTTGTTAATTGTACGGAGTTTTATATCGATTTCCAAGGAAGATCTGCCCAATTTTCTATAATTCATAAAATCAGGAGTAGACTTTTTAACTTTAAGCAAAAGTTGCAGAATTTCATATGTAACCTTTCTATAACCGAACTATTATCAAAACCCCAGATACACACGTACAGTGGTGCCGCGTATGATAATCAGTTATGAAAACTTACCTTTTGCAAATTTTATAAGTGAAATAATTCAGTAACTTTGGTTTTGACTGTTTCAGAAATATATGACCCTGAGGAGGATTGTCGTTCCGGTGTTATTTGTTGTGTCTCTATACTTCATTATCTATTACCAGAGTGCCAATCTAATTATTGGGCAGTTTTTTCCTGACGAAGAAAACTCTACAAGTTATTCATTACAAAAGGGCATTAATGAACCTATCAAAATCGCATGGTTTAAGCGGCCGAAATGGTTGCCGTTAACTTTCAATTTCAGTGAGTGCGGATTTTCAAACTGTATATTATCAGATAAAACTAAATCATTAGATAATTATGAAGCAATAATCTTTCATTATCGATATTTAAGTAAAAAGGTTCCAGAAAAGTCGAAAAATCAAATATGGATAATCTGGATAAATGAAAGTCCTGCAAATGACAAATCTTTACCAAAACAATGGCAGGATAAATTTGATTGGAGTGCTACTTACAGAAAAGAAAGCGAGTTTTCCCTTCGACGTTCAATAAAATTGAGAGAAAATAAGATAAATAGAAATTATACCGATATACTCCGAAGAAAAACAAAACAAGTCTCTTGGGTTGTTAGCAACTGTAAGACACCATCTCAGCGTCGAAGATATGTGGAAGAGTTAAAGAAATACATTACCGTTGATATTTATGGACATTGTGGGGAAAACAAGATGTTTTGCAAAAATAAAAGTGCTGCAGAATGTCATTCATATTTGTCAAATGAATATAAATTTTACCTTGGTTTTGAGAACAGTTTATGCCAAGATTACATTACAGAAAAAGTTTTTAACAATTTTCTCGACAACAATACAATGATTTATGTTGCAAGAGGAGCTCCAAATTTAAAGAGTGTCATTCCTGCAAATACGATGGTCAACACAGAGGACTTTGAGTCTCCAAAGACTTTGGCACAGTATCTTTTGAAACTAAGCTCAAATGAGACAGAATACATTTCTTATCTAAAAGAAACGGACAAATATTATCTTACAGAAAATCGAATAGCGCGAGCTTTCTGTTCTATCTGTGAGCTACTAAATACATACAAGAATAGAAAATTAAAGTGGACAGGGCGAAATTTCAATGTTTGGTACAGAAAAGGAGCATGTATTAGGCCAAATAATGGAAAAGGATCGAATGGTCATAGAAGATAATTATTGCGTAGTACGTCATAGAAATTTATGACTATAAGAAAGACTGGAATAGTTATTCTCTCTGAAACGTCATTTGTTTCAATAATAATTTTCGTACGACGAGCAGAAAAAAAACATGAGACTTTTTTTGTAGTTTTAGATTGGTCAAAGTAACAATTCTCAAAGAAAAGTCAAATTAACAAGTAAAGATCAGACGAATCGTTTACCAAACAATGTGCCTTGAAGATATGAATAACCTTCAAGGATTACGGTTAAAAAGTCATTCAGTCTTTCCCATACTTATGTGGGTTATGTTCATTAGATAGAGATAGACTTCAAATTATTTGATGTCAGTCAAAAATAAAGGACTCGTCTAATCTTTTTTCTTACTTTGGTTGAAAAATAAAAATAAGGAGATATGGTATGATTGCCAATGAGACAACTATCCACCAAAGTTCAAATGAAGTGGATGTAATCAATTAATGGCACCCGTTCGGCCTTCAATAATGAGAAAACCCCATACCATATCACGGGTAGTACTACTTAACGTCGTCATTTTGAGGAGCGTTTAGTAAAGTGACACAAACATGCATTCAATTCATTTGGTCTCTCTCTTTTACAAATATGCATTCAATTCATTTGATTCCTCTCTGTAACAAACATAATGCATTCAATGATCTTCAATTCATTTGATTCCTCTATTTTACAAACATGCATTCGATTCATTTTATTTTCGTAGTAAACATGGTAGTATATTCCATTGACTGTCATCTTTGTCCATTTACCGTACTGACTATACGATTGTAATATTGTTTGTGATAAGTACGTTATAACGTAATTTAGAATGACCAAACTAAATGCGTTATCACACTGTGTAAAGGGTGTCCTCTATGAAATGTGCCTTCGCGTTCTCGGTGTACTGTGACTTCCATTTTTCAACATCAAATAGCAACAATGCATTCAGTTTGGTATGTTTATTTTGTTTTCTATGATGATTTTTCACTTTTTAATAACATGATGTATTACAGAATGAATTTGCATGCATTAATTGCATATTTACATATAAATAATAACAACATTTAAAAGTATTTGTGTGTATTGTCTGAACGTTCTATGGCGTTCCAAAATTTTTGACAATTTAGTTAGAAAATATAGTTACAAATGCCAAAGCTCTAATTAAACCCCTCTTCAAAATCATTTATCTTTGATATTAGACAAGCATGGTCCTTAATAACGCTGTATACTTTTACATGCATGGAATGAACATACGCAGTCGGTCGAGTTTGCAAGTGTACTGTGACTTTGCCTTCATAATCTGTAAGACGGTACTGTGCTTTCACGTTTTTGTGTGTACTGTGACTTCGTTGTGTAGTTATAAACATATTAAAACGTCAGATATCAGTTTTCATATTCTACGGTGATCATATTGGTTTGTAATTTTAATTTTAATATTACCATATCCTATTTCTAATCCCGCAAATTTTGTATCAAACGATTAGCCAATGTATACATTTTGTCGGTCCTAGCTTTGCCATAAGGGGAAACAACTCAGATTATCTTACTTTTACTACAATTACACCATTTTCCGCAAAATATATTTTTGTAGATTTTTAGTATGTTGTTCATAGATAGTAACAGACTTGTTTTTCAGAGAAAAACGTTGTGTTGCAATTAGTTGCAGGTTGTTCACCAAATTGACTAGACTTTAAAAGTCGAATATTCTTGTAAATTGTTATTCTCTGACAAAATATCCTTAACTCCGCATAATCACACATGGTTGTAATGGGTTTGCATGTGTTAAGTATCTCCTCTTGCAAACTACGTATCAGACTTTTGTAACAGACTGAAGACTAATTTAATGTATTTTTTTTTCAAACAGTCACCTAAAGTCTCATTCATTTAATACAAACGGGTACACCACTTATCACTAAGGCATAGGCCTATATAGAATATCTCCAGTTGAAACCATTTATCTCTTTTACCGCCCTCAAGGCCAAGATATTTTTTACTTTTATTTATCGTAAATACGAAGTTCACTTGTCTACAAAACCAAACAGATCAACACCGTCGCAAATTGATGTAGATGACATGTTCAGTTTTATTTTTGCCGTCTACACAATTATCCGTTGTAATTTTTCAGTCAATCATTCACAGAAAGTCTTTCAAGCATGTGAGGAAGTAGTCCTGGTTTCATTTCATTACTTTGATACAGCTGGTTGGCTTGTAAATTTGACCTTGAAAGCACGGCAAAGTTGAACTGTGTTGAATCTCCATTTAAACATTTGAAATTTGATTTTTCTAAAGACATAAATCAAAGAAATATTCCATGGAACAATTTATCCCAAATTTGCCAGAATTGTTTAATTGCATCCGAATATCTCATTTGCCTTAAATTATCTGAACTAAGAAGTTAAACTACATCTAAATACAAAATAAAAGTTTTGTCTTGGATTATGTGAATAAAAACTGTCTATTAGTTTCTATGACCTCTGGTAAAAGTTCGATGATACTTTGCATATCATCATCAAAAGACATCATCTGCGTTATCACCATCATCATTATTATTTAATGTTTAGACATCAAGCATAGCAATATGTTTAAGAGAATAGTCGAATCTGGAAAATTATCGAACAGTTTCTGTTTAGATGGTGATGATATGCTATTTGGTTTAACTTTTTATGAGCTGGACTAACTGTTGACGGCGATTTTAAAAGTGATGCATTTGAAAATACTTTTGATTGATATCTATGATAAAATTGAGAATGGAACGAAAAAATTCAACGAATATCTTTTCCCCATATGTTCCAACTTCACATTTCACATAACTTAAAGTTCGATTTCCAAAATAACAAGTGGTTGGCGATAATTCCTCTTTTTTTTTGCATCTCATCTCTTAATCACCACGATGAGGTATGGTATGCTTCAGTATGTCTTTCTGTTCCAATTACCTCTCATCGCAGTAAAGGCAACTGAACTATAGTCCTTCACACGATGGACCCGACAAAAAACATTAAAAAAATCTAGTCAACTTGAAAGGATTGCTACAAGTCATTAAGTACAAATTCTTCGTAAAACTAGTAAAGGTCAAACGAGAGCAACCCCATATAATATATCAAAGGCCTAGAGCTGCTAACAATATACAATTTTACAGGACTAATATTACAGTGCATTTGTTGAACATGAAGTCACAGTACATTCACAATCGCTTTGTACAAGAAGTCACAGTACACTTGACTGAAATGAACGCGAATTCACAGTACACTTTCAAACTAAACCGATTGTGTATATTCATTACATGAAAAAATATACAGCAATATTAGGGACGATGCTTGTGTGATATCAAAGATAAATGATTTTGAAGATGGATTTAATTCATTTTTTTGGCATTTGTAAACACATTTTCTAACTAAATTGTAAAAAGCTTGGATCGCCATAGAACGTTTAGACAATACACACGAACACTTTTAAATTGTGTTATTATTTTTAAGTAAATATTCAATCAATGTATGCAAAATGTATTCTGTAATACATCATGTTTTTATTATTTGTCTATTAAATTTACAATATTGTTTGAGGAATACGTCTTGCAAAAAAATGCAAGTTCCAAAAGCCAAAAACAAAGACGTGTATAAGAAATATTTTATATATTCGGGGTCTATTTTATGGAATAACTTACCAATATTCCTGAAAAATCGACCTCAAGTACAAACTCATTCAAAAAAGATTTAAAAAATTACTTGTTGAAACATTAACAAGCTGTGTAATTTTATATGCATAATATTTAATTTTCACACACTTACTTTATAAACCTTAAATATTGTTAAGGTAATTTGAATGATGCCAATATTATATGAATTCATCAGTTTTACCAGTTTTGAAAATTGTATATTTCAAAACAATTTCTTGTTTGATTTTTCTTATGAGTGTGTTTGTTTGTTATATTTCAATGCATCATCATGAGGGTCTCAGGGAAGATTAGTTTTATAGCTAACTGTGTAACCCTCTTTAAAATAAAGAATTATTATTATTATTATTAAAAAATGAAGAATCAACATAAAAAACAAAATAAACATACCAAACTGAATGTTTTGTTATTTTTTTTGCAAAATGAAATCAGTCACATTTGATAGAGGACACCGTTTACATAGTGTGATTACTGTAGTTTCGATGATTAATGAAGACGTGCTACTATATATGTTTAATTGACCTCACCAGAGATCTTCAAAGATTGCATATTAAAGTAGGCGAGACACTTTCGTGTACAACTTATAATATGCTCGACATAGGCGTGCTTTTCCGGCGGCGAAAAAAATAAGTAATCAAATTGTTTATGTACTTATTATTTGAACAAAAATGATATGGGTAATTTTAAGCATTCGTTTTACAAAATTTTTATTTTATGTAAACTTTTTAGTCTTAATTTTTGTAAATTTAATAGACAAATATTTTTTTATATAAATTTTTTAATTTGTTAAATGAAGACAATCAAAATTATTAATAAATTTATATATTTGTGTATGTCATTATTTAAAGGGAGATAAATTGATAATTTAAGCGGCTAGCGTGAGAAGTTCATGAAGGATCAAGAAGGGACCGATTATAACAAAAGGCATTTAAAAGTTGTTGTGAAGGACCTCAAAGCCGGACTAGGCCTGGGCGTCTGGTAATGTAAATTGGTAAACAAACAGAAAGTCAGAGAACAAAAGGTCATGATTAGCAATGATCAACTGCATGAATTCTTGCAATAATGTTTTTTTTAATTGGATAAATTAATTTTACAGCTTTGTCAATTGTTCACAGGGTCCATCATCACCTGTTCGATAAATATTGCCGTGTTCAAAAATTGTAATAGTTTGATAGTCCTACTCACTGTCATCCCTTTAGGATTTCTGAGTCCGGCTCCGGACTCAGAATCCCAAAAGGGCCTATACTCACTATGGACCCGAGGCCAGTAAGCCCTGGCCACAGTCACTTATTTTCTATTTTGGGTTTATACTTTCATTGAAGCTGAAGCCAATACTGGACCATGTGGTATTTAAATCCATATGTTACTTGGTATTTGTTGGACAGTTGTCTCATTGGCAATCATACCACATTATCTTATTTTATACTGTTGTTTCTAATTTATGCCAAGAGATAAAGGTCGTATTACTCGTTTATATTACATAGCTGAAATGGTGATAGAGATTCATTTTTATAACCCCCGAGTCGAGGCGAATCCAATGTTGATATTTTTTGTGGTAACAATCTGCTCTATCTCCCACTCAGCTATGTGATATTTAATTTATCAGACTTAATGTTCTGATATTATCCAGTTATTGTATTTTAAATTCTATATTGAAAGTAATAAACTACGACT